AGTCTGGAGTTAAGTCTATAAATTTGAGAGAAAATTAAATTTTTGATGGACGTCACTTATATACGACCCCATCATGCAGTCATCCTCAATTTAAAATTTTTATTCCGATCCATATCCTTTAAAGAGTTTTTTTATCCGTTCAAAACAAGACAACATACATCGATTTTAATGTGCTGCATAAGCGACTGAAAAAAAAAGCAATAAAAAAATCGATTCAGCAAGCCATCGAGTCTTGAATTATAATAAAGTGGAAATGGAGGAGCGTGAAATGATAAGAAGTAAGGCAGCTGTTTTTTAAAAGAATGAGTGAGGAATTTATCGCTAGCTCATAAATCATTCTGTTGAAGAACTTTGGGGCCTTTTTATGTTTAAATCGAAGGTTTATTACGGAACCAAGGAGGAAATTATACAAAGCACGTGGAAGTTTAGAGAACAAAAAGAAAAATTTTCTGTGAAGTTTTACTTTTGAAAATTTGATTAAGAAGAACTTTTTTTCTGTAGAAAGGATCGCCGTACTGTGAATATGAATTAGACCGGAATATTTTCTTGATACGTATGTATTGGGTTATAATGGAATAAAAAGGATCTTAAATGAAGTTTTTGGCTTTGTTACTAGGGAAAGTAATGATTTAATGGGATGTAATGATCAATTTATGTAATAAAAGTTTTTGCTCCTTTTTCGCTGTTTATAAATCATGTTCATTGGATTTTCTAACCTATCTTTGGACTTTCCAATAAAAATAAAGGATTGTAGCGATTCTAATTGTTTTTAAACACCACATGCTCACAGTAAACTTTAATAGATTTAAAGCTGTGCTTCTTCCATCCACACTTAATACAATTTTCTTCTCATCAAATCCAACCATTTATTTATTGAAGCTTGAATTGACTTTCCAATCGAAATATACTTGGGCCATTTTAAACCATTGCTTAACTCAAGCATATCAGTTTTCAGAAGGAAGCCTTACCTCATCGAGTACAATTTTTCCTAAACGCTTTACTTGCTTGATTATTTTTGATTGTGTTAATGCAATTTATCAACTTTATACACCCTCAAAAAAAATATATCGATACTGCCTCCTGTTATCGGCTCAATTTATATAACTAAAAATCATTATTCATTTATTAAGCATCACATTATGGCTGAATTGGTAAGAATATTCGTTGATTTATTATCCAAAAAAGAAGAAGAACTAAAAAAAAGGCAGAAAAAACTTTCATCGCAACGTGTATGAATTATTTAAGCAGGATCCTATCCCATATCAGTCAGAGCATGCATGCCAATGTTATCGACATTGAATAAGAAGGAGGATAAAGGCAGAAAAATTCTGAATACTTTTTTCGGAACGTGATTGATTTTATCATTATTGTGTTCAAAAATAAATCTCTACGAAAATTTTTTTTTCTTTTCTTTTCATGAACTGGAACAAGACGAACACAATTTCGTGCCTTTTGACTTTTGGCTAAAGACATTTTATCGATCATTCTTATGGGCTTAGAAGTTACTACAAAATGTGTCACATAAATTATCCAATTTTAATTTTTTCTTCTTCAATGCTGAAAACTTTTCATCCTTTTTTTTGGCACGAACTGAGCATTTTCAGGCTCTGTGATTTTGTGCAACAAGTAAAACTATAAATTAAAGTTGTACATGAATAATCTTGTCAACGCGAACAATGTTGTAATGCTATGGGTGAGATTGGGGTGGGGGGATGTAGTTTTGGTTCATTTTTCATTGTGTAATTTGATAATCTTGTTGTTGTTTCGGGTTTATTTTCGACATAATGTTGTTGTAAGCTTGGCTTTGTAGTGTAGCTTGTAAAGATAAATTGTTCAGGCACTGTTATGATGTGGTGTATAATTGAGGTGAGACTCTGTTTGTTTAACGTTGAAAGTAACTAGATCCTTTCTAAGAAGTAATTGGCATCATGGGACATATTAAAAAGCGTTGAAGACTATAGTGAAGCTAGGATCGTTCACTAATTAATGAATTCAAAATTCTATCATCCCAATGAGAAGATCTCCTTACAAGATGTGGAGATCCTGCCATATGTGCATACTAATGTAAAACAAGTCGGGTTCAATGGGAATCGAACCCACATCCTCAAAAGAGGCGATCTTTGACCACTCGATCAGAGATCCCTGCCACTCGTCCACCGAGGTTCTTATCTTGCTACGGCTATTCGGCATAGACATATAACCAGTTTCAAAGCGAGCCCTATGCTCAGATCTATTTACTACAAATATGTTCATCGAGTCTTATCTTCACCCTGTCACATAATGTCTATGAAGTAAAATTTTGTTTTATTTAAACTGAAAAAAGAATTCAGGATTTCTCTTCCTTGATTACATTGCTTCATTGTCAATTTAAAGTGATTTTTACAACTTTTAATTCTGCTAAGCAGGGCGTAGCCAAGAACTTGTTAAGAGCATGGAGTATGTTTCAACAACGTGCTATTAGTCAAGCAAAATTTTGCTGTAATAAAATAACAAATTTTAAATAATATTTTATGAATCTGAAATTCAGTGAAATCAAAAGGTGTTAAATTTTATCATAATTCATTTAATAATCACAATAATACATAGCTACATTACCAGAAATTCCCAACATACCTAGAACATTATTGTAACAATTTTACACCTAAAATTTGAAAAAAAAATTTCATGCCATTTCATTTCAATTTATATTCATTTTTAACCATAAATAAAATGCACGACAAATGAAAACTTTTCGGTAAACATGACCATAAATGTAATTTTTATAAAAATTCACATTTAATTGCGGTGCCGCAAGTGGTTTTACCATTCACAGAAAAATGGGCCATAGTCATAACAATATTGTTCATTTAAATGAAACTTCCGAATCAAATTACACGAAAATTATCATTGACATTTTCCACATTTTTTTTCTCGTTAGCCTTTTCAGGACGACTGTGTGCTCTCAACTTTTTCATGAATAAAAAACGTTAATTTACAAGTCTTGTTGTAATTTTTTATTAAAATTTCCCTGGGATGAAAATTAAATGGGCTTGTGAATACAGAAATGTTGAGAATCTCTCTGGAGTAATACTCAAAATTAATGGCGTTCGTGACAAAGTTGAGGAAAAATGTGAAGTTTGCAATTGACGATGAAATATGAAAACATGGAAAATGTTTCTGTGGAAAATGTTGAATAATTTTAAGTACTCTATTATGCTCTTTAATGGAACTAGTTACAGACTTGAGATTTATCGTTAGTTTCAGTCTATTGATTGAAATTAATGAGTTTAATGAGGTTTTTAGAGTCGCTGCAGCATATGCTTTTGTAGAATAATTCAGCCGTTGGCCATAAGGCATAAGAGTCTGGTTAATACTACCTGCAGTTGCTACTCATCTATATGAGGTGTCGACTTCTTTTGGACTACTCGTGGGCGATGTTCTCTGTGATTGTCATTAGTGACACCTGCTTTTGGAAGTACCCAGCAGTTGGTCACTTATTTGTGCAATTCTACAACTATGGTAGATAATACCTAAGACTCAAATACACTTAAATAATAGATTCAGGATAATGACTAGGGTCAAACCTTAACTCAGATGGAAAATTACTTCAATTTGTTTGGATTTTAAAAACATTTACAAGTTTAGTTCTTAATCTGTTCAGCCTCTTCTTGGCCTATTCATAGCTTCCATGAAAATGTTGCAGACATCAAATCTCATATTACTTTGTATCTATAAACTATTTTTGTTACAAACTTTTTTTTATGTAATTAAAACCTTTTGCAATTCCAGTCCATGCATATGAAATTCCAACAGATCAGACAAAATTTTTGAAACCAACTACAAAAGTTCCTACAAAATAGATACAATATTTCCATGAAACCATATTAGCATCCAAAAGATTTCAGACCATTGTGTGCTGTAATCTGTTGCCAGCTACCACATTTGATCTTTCTTCATCCAATTCTATTCAAATTTCCTTTAGCTTTGCATTTACAAAATCATATTCAAATGCTGATCAAATCATTGAACGATTCACTAAAAAGGTCACATGTGGAAAATTCGAGTGAATGGAAGGGTAAATTGAACAACAACAGCAATGAAAAAAAAAATCAATTTCCGTGTGTCGAATCGTTTGCCTTCCTTTCATGAACTACTGAAAAATTGAGGAAACAAACAAATATTTCAGATTTTCATTGCCTTTCATTTCCACTGTTGCTGCAATTTTCTTCTTACAATATAATACGGTGCTTAATGTAGCATTCATTTTGTGGTAATAATAGAGCCTAGGAAGGAAAATGTCATACTTGAAAATGTCGATTGTATTTAGATTCATTGTTGACAGATCAATTAAAATTATCTGTTTGTGTATTTGACAAGTGAATTGTTTGTGGCTTGATTGTCTTAATTGGATAGTTTTGATATTTGATATCTTTGATGTTTTCAAAGCAGTGTCTTTTTGTGGATTTTCCTTGAATTGGATATTTGACGTTGATTCTAAGTGCTTTTTGCGACTTGTAAGGATCCAACGATTGACTTTATTCTAGTAGGAATCGAACGATTGGATAGATTTTTGATGGGAATCGAACCAAATCAAAAGAGAGAATCTGTTGTAAAACCACTTGGACATAGATGTTTTACTATCACAGTGGCAATTTATAGCCTAATAAGAATTCAGAGTTTAAAGTCGGGTCAAATTAATAGGGGCTGGGAGCTTATTATAACAATGTCAGTGAACTCTATTTACAAAGGTCAAAGGTTTCAATAAAAATAACTTATTAAATATTTGACGAATAAGAAAACTTATTTTAAAGCACCCAGTTATGCTCTGCCCTCGAAATAAGCTTAGATCAAGTTTAAAATTTTAAGGAAAAATCCCACTTCAAATTAAATAACATTACTTAGCACAATACTAATCCCATTAATTTCTTACATCTTCTTTCATTCTAGACAGTTGAGCAACAGCCACCATTAAATACATTCAACGTGACGCGATATCAGAATAGCGTGAAACGGCTAAAGAAATGCCGTTTACATCAAAAAAGCGAAAATCTACATCAACAGTTGGATTAGCGAATATATCAATATCATCGAATGTAGCTATAGGCACGTTCACGCTTCTACTGCTTATTGCACAAATCATCAATGGACAATCGAATCCACCTCAAACGTGTCCAACGGCAAATGACATCAGTCCATGTCAATGTCAAGTGAAAAAGAATGGCTTGGATATATTGTGTGAGGCGACGGATGTGACACATATCACACATGCCATGACCGTCCTTAAGCCCAAGAGTCCCATCATATTTTATCTAAAACTTCGTCATAATAATTTACCTAAATTGCAAAGCTTCATTTTTCTTGCTTTGGATATTCGGCATTTGACCATACATAATAGCTCACTTGCTGTTATTGAAGAGACGGCGCTCAGCTCATTGGGTATGTGACATTTTTTTGATAATTTAAAATAATAATCCTCATTGTCATGCGGAACTTTAATGATGATTGAATTTTTAAAAGGAGGTTATCTAAAATCTAGATGGATGTTGCTGTCCTGTATGGTTGTTTGTCTGGATGTCTGTTGTTTTGACCAAATTCAAACATTATATTTGGGGAAGCTTCTTAAACTTGAGTCGGTTACTAGACCTAACAGGACACTATCGAGTTTTTATCTGCTGGAGAGATGTAATCAGAAAGTTCTCGATGATGGTGGGAGGTTCTACCATGAAATCGAATCATAATGAACCCTAGCTATGATTGGTCAGGGCCAGATAGTTAAAGAAATTGAGGACAACAGTAGATCAAAAATTATATAACTTAGAGTAAAGCTTACAGAAATTACAGGAAGGCACACAACTCAACAAACAGTTTTAAAATCTCACAATTCTGTAAAAGTTGTTGCTACATTTTATCTGGAAAATTTCCACCGTCTTCAATCTTAATTTTTCCCTGCCACTTTAATATGAAGGAACAAGAAGAATGAAAGAGGAAGTTAAATATTTGACATGTGAAAGACAATGTTAAGGATGCGAAAAATAAAAAGCCGAACAATATGATGAATGAGATGATGGGTATGGGCATTTTTAGAATTGCGTCACGCACACAGCACATTCGTGTATTTATGCGATTGTATATCCTGTCATTTATCTCGGGATTTTCTTAGTCGGAAATCATGCTCTTTTGTGCTGTTGTTGATTTTATGGAAAACGTGCACGTATGCGGACAGGAAGCATGAAATAATAAAACAATCCATTAGTGCCAGCGTCCACATCTTTCCGCTAATAATTCTCATATTTGTTATACTGAACCTCCCATAATTCCATTTTTTTTTCATACATAATCTACAAGATTATTCCACAAACGAATGTTATGGCTTGCTTGTGGATTGAAATTTATTACAAAAATTATCGATTATTTTTTTTCCATCCACTGCACGACTGTTGTTTTTCCTACCCAATTTAATGTTTCTTGTTTCTACCTGTGTTGTTGTTGTTGTTGCTTTTTTCCTGCTTTACCCACCCTCAAGAGCTGCAAAATTAGAGTATGGGAATATGTTTATTCCTAGTTGTGTAGCTGTAATGGCAGGTATAGCTTCTCACAGGTTTCATGCTTCGCATATATTCGATACAAGTTTAAAGTTTTTCTATATTGTACACCATAACATGCTACATCTATATATTAAACAAGGAGTAGTCAAGAAATGAAAATATAGATTTTTCTGTACGGACGTGATGAGCAGCATAACAAATAAGGATAGAAAAAAATGAATGTTCAATATATTTTAGTATGTAAGAATCCCATCTGGTAGATTGTGCCAGACGATTCTGTAAAATTCTTATTGATTTACCATTTTCTACCTTTCTGATTCCGTTTCTAGAATCAAAATTGATTGGAATTTATGACAGATGAATGAGAATTGTGAATATGAAGGTAGATTCGGATGGTGAAATATTGTTGATTCAACAAAAATTCTGGGATTGAATGTAGGTTAAAAAATGCAGACATCAGGAGTCTGCTGTTGGGGCTTTGACTCAGAAGTTTGTAATATTCTTTAAAAATGAAAATTTCAGGTTTTTGTTCAAATAGTTTAAGGTCCTTATTCACCATAAAGCTCCTAGTTCTAATAGTTAAAGTAGCGGGAAGAAAGTTAAGGTTTTTTCAGTTTTTAACTAGATTCGAGCAGATTTTTTGCTATTCAGTCCCAAGCATTCTATCCGTTTATTCTGTTAAAGTTACAATCAATCCAAACAACCCTTAATTGCACCCTTTCATTGCATCAAACATGATTTTATAGGAAAATCAATAACCATTCAATTATCGAAACAAAAGCACAATGAAATTAGAGCTCTGCTTTTAATAAAAACTAATTTAAATTGCAGTGTTTTGAGCTCCGCTTGAATTTAATAATAGAATAACGCTGATAACCTTAGTAGCGTGTATGCTTCATTTGAAAATTGTTGAGTTGGTTGCCTTGTAATTATCAAATAAAGTCTCCTTCACACAGAAATTCATCAATCACATGCACATCTAAAGACGCAATTAGTGATGTTATAGTTTTTCATTATACTTTATGAATTCCTTATGAATATCCTCATGACTAAAAGAGCTTAATTATATTTCATGAATGAAGGAGGGAAATGGCAATATTGTGTATGCTGAAAATGAGGAGTTAATTAATAACTTATGCATGATGTTTTCACATGCATTCACTTAATGAATTTTACATACTTGAAAATAAATTAAAGGTAAAATGGATATTAAATTTTCACAGATTTTCACACATGCGACATGATTTTTTTTTCCATTAATGACCTAGATGCATAAATTATTATTTTCCATGCTGTACACTTAGGGGTCGTTCATGTATGACGTCCGTAGTGAAACATGATTTTTAATTACAAAATTTATACGGAAAAAATTCTTTTGTTTGAGCTGTCACAAATCCAAAAACCTCTTCCTCCACACATTAATATCGGACGTCATTAGTGAACGACCCCTTATGGTGTATGAAGATGTAATATGGAAAATTGTTATTTTATTAACATGCAATAAACAAGTTGAACCTTCTGTAAATAAAAACTTATGTTAAAACCCCAAACTAACCCTAAACCACCTTAGTTGGTTCCTTTAAATTTAATTCAAAATAAATAGCATTCCCTGTCCACCCCCATCATTTCCCCCTCTTATCCTAGTCAACTTCAGACCTTTGTTGAGATTCTCATAGATTTTTGTAAAATTTGCCTTTGAATCACCTTGTTTCATGATCTCAGTACGATGTTTGACTACCTTATTGCAAAAAATTTAAATATCAAAGAGAATTTCATCATTTTTTTACGAAAATAAATTTGTTTTTCCTTGCGAACTCATGAGATTTTTGAAAACTTCATTTTGAAAGCTTTCAGCTGATATCTTAGCAACATGAACAACATTTATCTAGAATGCAAGAAAGATAATCGTGTAAAGTTCTTGGAATTAAAACCTCAAAGCGGCAACCTTAATTTTTCATTTCGATTTCTAATCAATAATTCATGAATTATTTATGTGTGCTGTTTTTGTAATTATTTTGAGTCGTAGATAATTTTTGAAGGTTAACAATTTGTTTATTACTCGAAGGGAAAACAACTCGTTGGGAAATTTCTCATCAATTTTTTTCTATCATGTTATTTATTTACTTACATACTTGGATGACTTCACAGATCGTAGCTAGTGATAGAGCCAGATTTAGGCGGCATCTGAGGGACGCCATGATTTTACTGCAACTTAATTAAGTTTTGGGGGTCTATGACTTTGATAATCCAAACTCAACAATAATTAAGCTAGTTTAAGCTAAAGTGTCATAACAATTATTAAACTTCTACAATTTTTTCTCAGTTATTTCCCTCATTAAATCCATTTACTCATTTCATTTACTACGCTTACTATTAATGCTATTACGGTACTACGTAGTGGCATTTTAACAATGCCTATGCGTATTTATAGAGGAATTATTCCTTCCATTATGAAACTTTTACATTCAGTTGAGTTCAAAGAATTTCGTCTCGGTCATGGAATATTTTAACCGTCCTACTTTTAGCTTCCTTTTTCGCCTACGACTTTTATTTATTATAATCTGATATGTAACGCATAGTAAATTACAGTATGAAAAAAAAATGTATACACACGAAGATTATTGATTTCCCAGTTGAGTTCTATTTTAAGTCGAGCAACAATTTTTGCTTCTATTTTTTTCTTGTTCTTTCCATTCATCAAATGGATTAGAAGTGAAAGTAAAATAAATTTTGATAAATATTATTTTTCTTTTTGAAAAGGGAAGCTTATGATCAAATGGATTGAGTATGAATGGGAATTTGGGGCTTCCTATTTATGATGATGGGTTTTCTTTCACCTTTTTGATGATAAATGGAGCTTTTGATGATTAAATGCTAAAATTTTGCTTGTATTTTGGGATTCGTGAAAGGCTTTTGTTATTAATAAAAGCAACGTTCTTTTGACTAGCTACCAGTTGCTATTAGCTACTATGAACTACTAGCTACTATAAACTACTAGCAGCAAATAAAAACTGCATAGCCAAAAACTTGAGTATTTTCTCAAAGTTTTTAAAAGTTCTGCTATAAAATAAAGCATTTTAACCTATAAAATTAAAAACCTCCACAAAACAATGACTGAATGTCGTTCTCACTTCTTTTCAATTTCCAAGAAGGATTTGAATTTATTTTTTTCATGGAAAAATGCGAAAAATGTAACAAATTCTTGAATTCTTCCACGAAGTATTTAAAGAATTATTAACTGTGAAGTTTCCCGGAAGCAATGAAAATTTAAGCAGCTTTAACATGAGTTGCAGTTTCATGAACCTTTTGGATGGGTTCATAAGGAATGAGCATTAATAATATTCACAGTATGTGCGATTAAAAGCAAAGTCTGACATTGAATTTTTTATTCAAAAAATATATTTTTTCTCAAGGTCGTTTGTTGGAGATATTAAAAGTCATGAATCATAAAATTCACGTGTCACATTGACTTGAGAAAATTGAATCTTCATGTTTTTTTTGCGTAGCTGAAGCTGATGTTGGCAATAAATCATCTCAGCAGAACATTTCATTACTCTTAATACTGCAGTAAATTTTCGGAAATTAAGCAGACAACGTGATGCGACATACGATAAACTTTAGGAATGAGATGAATGCAGTGAATTAACCAATTTATCAATTCTGTTTAGATGCATTGATAAAAGGCTACATCCAGGACTTTATTTGGTGTTTATCAAACCATTCGTCTGCCAACTCATTGAAACTTTTCAAATCATTTAATTTATCAAATGGAAAGCAGAATAAAGTGTCATTTGATACTCCTAGTGAGACATATTTTCGCAGGAAGCTATTTAAAAATTGAACAAGCAGTTCCTTGAATTGCTGATGAACAATTTCTATTGTAGAGCATTTCCTGTAGAAATCAATAATAAATTACAGGTTGTATTGATTGTCAAGGCTTGATTTTGATTTATAGTTTAAAGTTAAATATTTGTGGGAGTTCTTGTCAGATTGACGTGCTTCATAAATTGTGGTAATTATGGACTTCGACGGAGTTTTAATGTGATAATTTAGGTATATATTTATAAGCTTTTGAAGATCTTTTTGAATAATATAATCTATGAAAGGGATGAACGGAATTTGTTGAACAGATTTTCACAAAGCGGTCAGTAATTTCCAGAGCTCGAAGTCGACTCGACTTCTTGCAAAATTTCATCGACTTCGAGCTCTGGTAAGTTCTTTGAAATTTGATAATTCTTATAGGTTGCTTAAAAAAGCTTTGAATACAATTTTCCTGCTTTAAAGCCTTCAATCACGTATGAAAGGTGTCTGAATCTATTTACAGGTCATTATACATATTGTTGGGGTAGTTTCTTAAAAGTAAAGAAGTAAATCGACAGAATTATTTTAAAACTAGGAAATTAAAGAATTTATCATAAAAAGTGACATGCCTTCCTAATTCACCCTTTTTACGTCCCTGACTTGTGCTTTCAAAACTCAGAAATTAATTTCAAAACTTTCCATGAACGGAGTCAATAAAAAATTCAAATGTGACATTTTAAAACTTTTTTTTCTGCACAGTCACAAGTGACGTCTTGACAACTGAGTTTTATTCCATTTCCTTCCATTTTGATGTCATTGTAATTGAATCACGATATCATAAATTTTATATGCCACATGTTGAGTAAGGATTTTTTTATGACATCACATAAAGCCTCGGAAATTTTATTTTATGTGCTTCATAATCCATTCCCAATCATGACAATGAGGACATTTTTTTTAAAAAAAAATTAATTTTACATCATATAAATATAAAATTATAGGCAAGGGATTAACACAGCTGGATGTATCACAAAATCAATTACAAAATGTCCCATCGAGTACATTGAAGCATCTTCATCATCTGTTGATTTTGAATTTAAATCACAACAAAATAGCTGTTGTACACAATCAGGCGTTTGTGGGACTCGACACACTCGAAATATTGACATTGTACGAGAATAAAATTTCGAATATAGAACCGGAGGCGTTTCGAGGACTTGACAAGTGAGTACACATTATGCGTAGGCATTATGAACTAAATTTAATGTGTTTTTGTTCGGTAGGAAACTTAAACGACTGAATTTGGGTGGAAATCATTTGACTACAATCCCACAAAAAGCCCTCGGAATATTTGACAATTTGAAGAAGCTTGAAATTCAAGAGAATCGAATTGAGACAATAAAAGAGGGTGATTTTGAGGGCTTGAGGAATTTAGATTCGCTCATTCTTGCACACAACAAGCTACGAACAATACCGGGTCGAGTTTTCTCACACTTACGACAGCTAAATTCTTTGGAACTTGAGGGTAATCTGATAACATCCGTTGATGCGGAAGCATTTGCTGGATTAGAAGGTAAGATAGAAATTTTTAAAAGTCAATTATGTTAAATGTGATTAGAATACATTTGAAGTATCTTCAGCTCAGTGCAGGATTGGTATGTTGGTGCCAATGGTTGGCTTTGTGCCTTGCGAGATTTTATTCTTGCAACTCTAAACCAAATTTTGGATGAAAATGATTTCAATGCATGTGATTGGTAGCTCCTTCCTATTATTATCCGAAGAAAGAGTCATTCAAAAGTGATGAATGTTGCTCCAAACCCCATTTAAAGCTCCAACAGCATATTTAGCTCCAAAGCTCTCTTCTTCTCTCTTCAATTTTATAATTTTTAATTTGCATGTGAAGCAGCGACATCCTTAAAATGCAGAAATAAAAATAACCGCTAAAACCAACCAATTAGCAACTCTGCAGCACAGCATGTAAAAGTTTCTTAATCAAGACAATAAGAAAAGTTTCCATCTGCAAAATACGAGCAAGAAATGAAAATTAATTAACTTTTATGAGCTTTAAATCATCTTTTTGCGATTCTTATTCACTTTCAAACTTTTTTTTGCTTTCTCTTCTGCTCCACTTCGTGCCTTAATTGTGATGATGAGCATTTCTCGTCTCTGGTTTTCCACTTAACTTTACTATTTTCTTTTCATTTTTATTTAATGATTCTCGTTTATGAGCAGAATATAAATTAGGCAATGAATTTTTTAAGGAATTTAAGCTATTGATTTAATGTAAAGATGTGGAAAATTGGAAAAAAAATTCTCAACGTTGTTAAATATTTTATGATTTTGGGGAAATGAAAGATGATTTGTACTTAATTTAATTTCTGTTTTACGATGTTTGGTAGACTTTGGATAATGGATTTTTGCTGATTTTTGTTTTAAAATTCACAATCTGAATTGTGCAAATTGTAAGGCAAAGGAAAAAAAAGTCATCATTATAGGGAAATTTCGAATTTTATAAAAAAAAGCTTTTTAAAAAAAAAAGCTTTTTAAAAAAAATTAATTTACGGACATCTCCAGCTTTTCTTTAATTTGAGTTAAGTGAGATTTTTAAGCTTTAAAAAATTTCAGCTATTTTCAAAATTTGAGCTTTTTTAACAACTCGAGCTTTTTGAACAAGTTGAGCTTTTTGAATAATTCTAGCTTTTTGAACAATTCGAGCTTTTTGAACAATTCGAGCTTCTTGAAAACTTAAACTTTTTAACAGTGAATTTTTTTTGAGTGATTTGAGATTTCTGAATATTTGAATCATTTGATTACTGGAAATAAAATTTTAAAATATTGGAGCTTTTTATGAATGTTGGTTTTGAAATAATTTGAGTTTTTGGAAAAATTTGAGCTCAATAAATTCTTTAATTCTTTAAAATTATATTCGAATTTCCTCCAAATTTGTCCATTTCTTATTCTTATTTCAACATAAAGTAAACACTCATAATTTTTTCTAGCTCAAAGCTTCAAATCAAAATCATTTATTCACGTGAAAAAAATTTCTTCCTTCCTTTTTTGCTTTTTCGAACATGAAAAAAATAATGTTTTATTTTCTTCAAAGCTGAATTTTTTCATTTGTATTAAACGTTTGTATTATACGATGTTATCTTGTTGGTATGAACTTGAAGCAATTCACACGATGTTTATTCAACAATCAACATTTCCCACACTTTATTTGTAAATGAAAAAGAGAAACAGAAGAAGAGAATTTTTAATTTCCGTCTTTGGTAAACATCGTTGAAATGATAAGAGCATTTGAAGTGAAAAAGCTTCTTACGGAAGAATAAAGCATGTTTTTTGTGTATTTTAAGGAGAAATTGTTTGAATTTTTATTTTGTCTACTCAAGTGACTCTCAACAATGAAGTCGGTTAATCGAGTAGAAGTCCAATAAAATGGCATGGCGCTGAACTCATATTAGAATGACTCATGCCAGAGTCACGCTGGCTTGGTGTTGGATTTCTATTCAATAAACCGATTTGTGTTATTCGGGAATATGTTGTTAAAACTTTCTTAGTGGTCGAACCGAGGCTTTCGCAAAGTTATGATATTAATAAGTTAATAATTAATATAATAGTAAGCGTCATTAATCACCTTCAAACTATTCATTCAGAATTGCACAAAGAGATGTTAGTAGATTCATTCATTTCCCAAAACATGTGTGCATGATATGAGAATATGAACGTCTGTTAAGCTTAGTTGAATCAACTTGAACTTAATTGAAAAATACATTCATGATGTTGAATAAATATAAATATTTAGGTTAGAGACAGAACTTTCTCATTTTTCATTGCAAGTAAGGAAATAGCTTTAACTTGTCATAATCCTTGACAGCTTGTTTTTGTTATTTTTTTGCTGTTTGTTCAGAATATACAATAGTGAAGTCTCTTAGCTCCCTTCGGTATTGAATCGAATATTATATTCAACAAGTCTTACTGCTTTCATTCTCTTTCGTCTCTGCATACACATTCATACACATTTCTTCTTCCTTTCCATGCCCTTAATACCATTTCCTTTTAAAGAGTGAGTATGAAAGGACTTAAATCCTTCGTTTGTATTCAACATGCATTTTTCATTAAGAATTTAATATTTGATTGAACATTTACTTATACGTCCTCAAATAATCCCTTCCGCAAAATTTCATTTACAGAAAATCTTCAATATTTACGTCTTGGGGATAATGACTTACACATGATACCTAGTGAGTCGTTAAAGCGTTTACATCGGCTAAGACATTTGGATTTGCGATCGAATAACATCAGTTACATACCGGAAGATGCTTTTGTGGGATATGGAGATTCAATTACATTCTTGAATCTTCAGAAAAATGAGTAAGTATGGAAATTGATAGGTTTTGTTGTTGAATGAATGAGAATGAATGCTAAAATATTTTAATAAAATCTTTAAAATTTCAATGAAGTCATTTAATTAAAAATAAAACAAAATGTCAAGTTCGAAACCTACTCTCATCAAGTTTTAAAGATTTAAGACATTTTTGTAGCAGAAATCTTAAATGATTCTGAAAATCAAATCCCAAAGGATTCTTAAAATAGATATGAGATGGATTTTTCCATAAATAATGTCATAATCAGAATTGAAATGAACATCAATTTACAGAATACCTTCCAAGAAGAACTGTGTTCAATAGTAAATGTATTTTGAAATTGAAGTTCATTTGTCAAATTCTTAGAAGGATTATGAAGAATACACGATTTTTTAAATTTCTGGGTACTGGACTATGCTACTTGTACCTAAAGGCTATAGACTAAAGATAGTATTAAGTAATCAAAAAGAAAATCAGGAACAAGGTTGAAAAAGAACTCAGTTTTCCAAAATAAAGACAAATCCGCCTATAAATAGAGACCGAGCAGGTTAGGAAGCAAGTTTTTATTTCTTCAAGACTTGGGTTTAATTCCCATCAAAGGCTCTATCACTCAACATATGTGACATTAATCAATAAATAATAAATCAATTCATAGTTAATCAAATAAATTTGTCGACTAAATTAAATTCCGTCATTTTCTTACCAAAGGATTCTATTTCAACATTTAAGTAAGAAAGAATAACAAAAACTTTTGATTTCATGCTCAAATAAATTTTTGTTGCCAACCAAAAACCACAAAAAAATTTTCCATTGTTAGAAAAAAAATTAATTTAGGATTTTTCATCTACTGCTCATCTCAGCAGAGAAATTTATTTCATTATTATTTTTATAAAACAAAAGTTTTTAAATTCCCCATGACTGAAACAAAACAAAACTCGTGCCTCACTTAATTATAAACAATCCAATAAAAAAAAACTGTTTGCCAAGAGAAATGTCGAAAACAAACCGTAAATAGCATTACGAATGGAAATTATGAAATATAGCAAATTTTGCATATTAATAAGTTTATGAAAAATTCAGCATTGCCACAACGACAGAGCCTGAATCTTTTATGTGTGACAAAAAAAAAACTTTTTGCATTGATTTTGTTTTCTATACAAAATTTTTCATTAAATATTTATTTAACAGCATTAAAAGTTTACCAGCAATGGCGTTTGAGAATCTCAATTCATTGGAAACATTAAGTATTCAGAACAACAAGCTAACGCGCATACCTGAAGAAGTTATGGAGCCTGTAATTGATACATTGCGTGTCGTCGATATAATGGGTAAGTTTTGCCTCTCTTAAGTCTACCTAATTGCCTATATAAAATGAACGGTCTGATTAAATAATGAAGCAATGAGTTCTATTATTAAATGAATCTAGTATTGATTTTTCATCGCGTTTTTCAAAGGATAATGTTGGTGATGTCAGCATTTTATATATATTAATGCTAGTCTGGATCAGATTGTTAGACAATCTGTTTGTCTCTCTTTTGTAAGTGCTCTTGAACTTCTTATGATTTGTCCTAGATTTGTCACTTAGTTTAAGGTTTAATCATCCATCGTATTTCCCATCAATGATATTATTATGTTTAAAAATGTATCTCGCAGTTCTAAGTATGATCCTCATTCTTCCAGGTTCTAGGTTCGTCTCAATGGATTTCTGTCCTAGATGTGTAACTCTGCTTAAGTCAGCGCATGTCTCATAGGTGTGCCTTTCTGTTCATCTCTTTTTTTGTGTGTCTCTTTATCCTTCATTATTAGGCTTACCCCTAGGTACGACTACTCTAAAGCTCTAAACGCAGCCATTATTCCTTACTTCCTTTTTTTCTCTGTCTCTATTTTTTTCCTATCGAGTCGATAGAAATAGATATTTTTTGTGCTCGTTCAATTATGTCCTTAGGTTATCAGAAGATTATCAAAACTTGTTGCATTCGATTTCGATTACTGAATAAAATTTAATTGGAATTCTTATCTGTCTGCTGTGTGGACTTTAGAAGCACAATATTTTGTGTTATTCGGTTGAGTTAGCATTGGATATTGAGACATTTCTGTTGAATTTTCATATGACAATGCTTTTGTATTCGAGAATTGTCATTTGGGAATTTCTGATTAGAAATGCATAACAATTTGCTTGTATTCCTGTGGCAATTAAACAAAACTCTAGTGGGATTGTTTATTGATGGTATGTGGTTTATAGTTATTTTACTTTTGATCTTTTGTGTACTCTACAATGGGAAAGACTTAATTAATATTTTGAAATTCTGAGTATTTTGAATGACATCAAAGTTAAATGTTTGATATTTGTAGGCTTGATGTTGTTGCTTGGATGCAAATCAATTATCAATTGCACCATGCAACTTATTGATTATGGAATCAACAATGCAATTGTTAAGACTCTCACTCAAATTATTTATTTAGAAATGAGGAAATAGCTCTTTCCAGAACTCCTAAAACTTTACAGCTTTTTAAAAATAGGTTATGCAGGTGGGGTCTACTAAAAACTAAAGCAATTTAGAATAATTTCGGACCATTTTTCTATATCTTTTTTAAACATAGTCTCCTATATAATCACATCCATTCCCTTCTTCTTCCCTAACTACACTCCTAGCTGAAAAAATATCATAAACCACAATTTACAGCACAAAACAACAAATTACATGAGATATGAGCACGAAAAACTTTAAAATCCTTTGGGGCCGTTCACTTATGACGTCCGACATTTAGGGGGGGAGGGGGTCTAGAATTTTGGTGACAGTTCAAACAATGGAAATTTTTTTCTATAGAATTTTTGTGACAGAGGAGGGGAGGGGGGTCTAAAAAGCAGGTTTTTTGAAGGACGTCATAAGTGAACGGCCCCTTTACAAACCCTTTTCAAAAAATTTTTAACAACTGGGTGCGGAAATTTGTAAGGCACAAAATAACTGATAAAGGGAAACAAGATTCATCTAACATAATAAAGTAATGCGAGGGTAGACAAAGTTCACCAATAAATTACATTCAAGTTATTCAATTTTTTATACATGGATATGAAGAAGTGCGAAAGAAAATGAGGTTAAAGGTAATTTGCGAGATGCGAGAACAGAAAATTTATTAAAGTCATGAAACATTCTATGTAATGAGGTAGCGACGAACGGGGATATGATGACTCGTGAAATTTTTCTGGTGAATATTGTCGACATGAAACGATATTTAGCATGATTTTGGGGGAAGGAGAAGATTTATTAAGTTCAGACATGAAGCTTTAAACTTGACTTTGATCTTCTATTTTTGGTTTACGCAATTGTTTTAAGGACGGAAATATTCATTGATTTTATGCTAAATTTAGAATTTTCGTACCTTGATTGTGGATTATGGTAATGACCTATTTACACTTCCTTTGATTTTCGTTCTCATTATTTATGGTGATAATGGTGCTATGCTTAATAAATTCATGAGAATTTTAAAAATATTTAAAGAATTCATGAGAATTTTAAAAATATTTAAGGTTTTAAAGGCTTATTTTAAATTAAGTTTTAAATGCCAAGACTTTAATATTTAAATATTAAGAGCGTACTGGGAATAATTACATTGCAAAGAAGGGAATCAAACTTTTTGTACTGAACAAAGTAATAGTATGTCACACAACAATTTGTCTATAAACATCGAATAGAATAAAGCAACTTTGTACACCTTAAAGTAAACTGAACTGAGCTTTGCTTCAAAATACAGCTTAGAAACTCATCCTAATAGCATTTACAATGGTAAAGCTCTCTTAGTGGTATCTCTAAGATAGTGATTCTCAAAGGGTATCTCAATCAGCTAGTTACCAAAGCTACTAAAGCTTTTCCTAGACTGTGTCATAAAATTTTGAAAAACCAGCTAATTTAATAAGAATCTGAAGGTTAATGTCAGATGTGACCAGAGCTCGAAGTCGACTCGAGATTTTCATCGATTTTGTATGGCGGAATCGAATCCGAGTCGACTAGACTACATACAAAATTTCATCGAGTTTGAGCTTTGTATGTGACAATATAAAGCAATCAAAAAGTTCTCTAAAATCATTCACAAGTTCAAAAGCTCTAAAGTAATTTTCATCTGTTCAAAAAAGTCCTAAATAAGAAAAAAAATTTCAAGGAAATCATTAATTTGAAATCAATTCTCTGATGACAATTTTTATTGGAAATACAATAAAGGAAGCAATAAATTTCATCCAAAGCTGAAAGAAAAATCATCACGAAATCGAGTAATTGGAAAACGAGAAAGCTACGTGAAAAGAATGAAATCGATGATCAATTCCTCCGCATTTCTCAACACATCAATTGCATTCTTTTACTTCAATTGCTAAGTCTATTTCCCACATAAAGTTTATTTCCTATTCGCATTCACAAAGAAAAGTCTTCATTTTATTCTCGGCACGTGAATCGTTCATGTTTCGTGATCTCTATTGATTTGGTGTCAGAAATTGAATTTGAAAGAAAATGGAAGAGCTGTAAAGTCTATAATTGACATCAATTTGTGATTATGGCCTATCCTGAGTGATTGAAAGGAGCAAATTAAAGCTGTAATTTCCAACAATCAAGTCTTATTATACCTCAATATATAAATCGATGTGCGTAGATAGAGACTCTGATCATTCTAGTGTGCAGAATGAACTTCCGATTACATATACCTGCTTACAAAAATATCCAAAAAGACCCATCGTACAATAAATTATTTATCTTCAATAGATTGCTTGACATTTTATGTAATGAATGTGTAGTACGATAATTTATAGGATGAGTCTATATCCACAAACATGTTGCCATAGATTCATCCTAATAAATAATGTTAGTAATACGTTATTATTGGGCACATAAACAAATTTATTTACTGATTTTTATGGATCCATAGATTCATAAATTATCTATCGATTGGATCAATGTTGAGTTATGAATTCTTATTGGAATCGAAATATGTCACAAAAGATTTAGAGTAGATGTTTATGATTAGAAAATGGATTGTCAATGTTTTATTTTTGGATCAACATATACTGATTTTTCTTAAGGATTCTCAAGAACCAAACAGTTGATTTTTGCAGGTCATAATTAATCATGATTTCTATTTTGCTCCCAGCCTTCGAACTCTTGAGAAGGTGAAGACTTAATTTCGAAATTTCTTCAATTCGAAGATGCTATACTAAAATTTCACTCTTTTTCCTTTAAAACTGGTTTTGTCCTGTGTACTGAACCTATCCTTTGAATTGAACATGTCTTTTAAAATAAACTTCTTCAATGAACTGACCTTGTCCTTCGAAACTGAATTTGTGCTTTAAAACTGAACTTTCCTTTCGAAACTTAACTTATCCTTTGAATTGAACATATCTTCCCAACTTAACTTCTTCAATGAACTGACGTTGTCTTTCGAAACTGAATTTGTGCTTTAAACTGATTTTTTTCTTTCTAAACTGAACCTATCCTTTGAATTGAACATGTCTTTTAAACTAAACTTCTTCAATGAACTGACCTTGTCCTTCTTAACTGAATTTGTGTTTTAAAACTGAACTTTCCTAACGTAACTGAACTTATCCTTTGAACTAAACATGTCATTTGAATTAAACTTCTTCAATGAACTGATCTTGTCCTTCGAAACTGAATTTGTGTTTTAAAACTGATTTTTTTTCTTTCTAAACTGAACTTATCCTTTGAACTAAACATGTCTTTTGAATTAAACTTCTTCAGGATATTGACCTTGTTCTTTGAAACTGAATTTGTGCTTTAAAACTGAATTTGTGCTTTAAAACTGAATTTTCTTTTAGAAACTGAATTTATCTTTTGAACTAGATTTGTCAAAAGAACTGAACTTATCCTTTAAGAAAAATTACCAATTCGCAAGGGTGCAAAACTGATGAAGCAATCAAAAATGATCAAAATGTAATTTGTCAGTTCCGTATGCTTGCCAGATCATCACAGTTTAGTAGCCAGAGGAGGAGGACTTGTGGGAGTAACTACATTTTTGAATATTTTCTTCGTCTGGATGGGTTTTTTTTATCACAAACCCCCCTTCAAATTCTCAGTCCATACAAAAGTATTGAACCCATTTACTCGCCAGCCCTGACTCATTAACATTCCTTTACATTAAAATCTATTCAAATTGAATTATTCCAATTTATCCTAAATCACTATCCCAAGTGATAACGACAACAAGACACAAGATATAAAATTAAATGAAAACTAATTTTCTGCATAAATATTTTATTCAGACACAAGCCATAACAAAGCAATTAGATCAATTAATTAAGCAAATTCAAATAACAATAAAATAAATTATGTCTAATTAATTTTCACAGATAATCCTCTGATTTGCTCATGCGATTTAATGTGGTTCCCAAACTTGTTGAAAGAGTTGAAGAATCGTGATGACGAAATGACGCAGAAGAAGCGACCAATGTGCACAATGTTGAATGAGCATCGAGAATATTTCGTTCAAAGTATGCCACTGGAAAGGATGAATTGTATCGGTAAGAATCTTGGACGTTCAGCGATGAGCAGTAGTGGTGGTGTTGTCGTAACAAGTACGACTCTAATTATATTAATTCTTAGTTTCTTATGTGCTTGCTTGTCATAAAATTTTGACTTTTTCTTTTGTATCGAAAAATAATTTTTTTTTTCTCAAAAATTCGCTTCATAAAAAATTGTGAAAAATTTCTCGTATTTAATTGACGATGCTTCAAGCAAGTCTCTTTATGTCAATCTCTGATTTTCTTTTTTTAATGATAAAAAATCCAAAAATAAAACATAATTAAGATCAAAAATATTAAATCGTAGAGCGATTATTGATTTTTTCCATAATTTAGAAACATTAAAAGAAGAAAATTAGGCGGAAGTCCAACACCAAAAAGAAAATATATTTAAAAGAACAAAGAAAATAAATTAAATGAAAAGTTTACAAGTAGTTGAAAAGTTTTTATTGTTTTCGATTCTTTTATTTGTTTGTGCCATGCAACATTAAAGCTGAAAAATAAATAAAATAAATACGTGTGCGCTATGAATTAGGAGAAACTTGAAAGATAAATTTTATAGAGTTTTTGTTGACTTGCTGGTGAAAGTTGCGCTGCAAAGTTTTGCGTGAAGTTTAAAAGATTTTGTTCTTAATATAAAATAATATTATTCCTATTTCTGCTAAAATGAGCTGTTAAAATCAGGGTTTCGGATCTGATATCTTAATCTGGATTATTTTTGATCAGTTTTCTGAAAACTTTTAAATGCTTTAAATTTTTCAATTTTTCAACTTTTTTTGGAAAAAATTTCTTAATTTAGTTATAATAATTTGGTTTTTAAAATAAAAATATAAGAAATTGGAATTTCGATAAAAGTTAAAAAGAATTTAAAAGAAATGATTTTGAATAATTTTAAAATTTTATTTGAAATTTTTCAATTTTACTAATTTTAAAAACACTTCAAAAATGTCAAAATATTTCAAGCAAGCAAGTCACATAACTCAATTTCCCATTTTTCGCTTAACTTTTTCACAAAAAGTAAAAAAAAGAACAAATAAAAAATGTCAAAACTTCCTTTTCATCTTACTGGAATGGATGTAATGAAAAGTGACATTCACTGATAGACTTCTCTCATTTATGTGTCAGTGATAAGACAACTCTATCGGTTGAATGGAAAATAAACAGTTTAAAGCTATTCGATTTAATGAAACATATCAAATATATGAATAAGAATTGCTGAATTAACTTGAACATATCTTTAACGATACATATCAAAAAAAAAATAAAATAAAAATTTTCATTCTCTTTAAAATAAAAAAAATCAATTTCGAATCTTTAAACTTTCCTTAAACGTGTAAAATTTATTCCGAAATTAAATCAAGCAAAAAAATTCTTTCTCAATTTAAACAAAAAAAAGTTAAATGTTCTATGTGGTTTAAAAAGTGAGCATATAAAAAACAAAGAATTTTCATCATATCGCAATCTACCGTAAAGAATTTCCTGATCGTAGATAGATGGGTAAAGTTAGGAGGAACCGCACATTTGGTGAGAAACCTTTTTATGCCAATTAATATGTGTTGAGATACTGCTTGTGGCAAATTCTTGATTAAATGAATTTTCAGTGGTGCCGCATGCATCAATTGTGGCTATTCTTTCTAGTTTAAGGACTTTTAAGAAAGAAAATTAATTTTGAGAAAATTCTTTGAAAGAAGTTGTTACAATAAATTATTGGCATAAAATCTTCTCAACCTAAATGGATGCAAAAAAAGGAGATAAAATTCATGATTTGTTTAAAAATATCTTTCTCAAAATTTTAAATGTCTTTATTCAAATGCTGCTCTCTCCTTTTATAAGTTTGAATCGTAAGGAAAGAAAATTATATTAGGATGAAGGATGTTTCACTTTTTAAATGTTCAAAGGAATTGAAAATGTTTAATTATATTTTGAAGTTCTTTCAATGGATCGAATTATAAACTTTTAATCAAATTTTGAAATTTAAAATCAAATTTTGAACATTTTTGTCACATTTTGAGCTTTGAAATCAAATTTTGAACTTTTTGATCAAATTTTGAACTTTAAGATCAAAATTTTGAAATTTCAAATTGAAATATTGGAACTTCAAGATCAAATATCAAACTTTAAAGTCAAGTTTTGACCTTTTTGATCAAGATTTGAACTTTTTTTGATTAAATTCGAAACTTAAAAATTGAATTTAAACATTTTGATCACAATTTGCTTTTAAAAAAGTGTCGAATCTCCTGGAAATGTACGGCCTGTTTCACTAAGGTGGATTATCCACCGATCGGATTATCCACTTTTTTAATCCGAGGATAATCCATAAATTTTTTTACTTCTTTAAACTGCACGGTGAATCAGAAAAAATGGATTTAAAGAAAATAATTTTTTGACGATGGATTTCACAAAAAAAGATTATCCTAGTAGGTGAATTATCCGAAGATTATCCTGAGATTATCCTAGGATTATCCACATAAATAATCTAAAATGTTAAAACAGGGTCCCCCCAAGATTGAAAATTCGGATAATCTCAAGGATTATCCTAGGATAATCTCAGGATAATCCATATACTAAAATCATTTTTTTGCTATAGTCACTATCCAATAAAAAGATTCTTTGTCAAACTGTTCTGATTATTATTAACCAATTAATTCTACATCAGAAAAAAATTATTTGGATTTTCCACGTATCGAAGAAATAGATAATCCTAAAATGAGGATAATCCACCTTAGTGAAACAGGCCGGTAAAGATAAGATTAATCTAGAATTTTAGAAAGTTTGGAAAGTTAGAAAGAAAAGAAATAAAGTAAGAATATGCAAAAAATTGTGATGGAAAAGTTAAAGTCCTTTTAGAATTATTATAAAAAGATAAGAGAATAAAAATTTACATGTATTAAAGAATTATATAAATGAAAAAAAAAATTAAATTAAAGAGTCACACGTCATGAGCCTGACGTAAGTAAGATGAAAAGAAATTAGAGAATGGAAATGTAATACATAAACATAAACATATCATTTTAATTAACTAATGATTATTATATTATAAAAAAAGCTATTGCTTTACAAACAAGTAAGTCTATATGATATAAAAAAATTATTAAGAACAATTTTTATTCCTTTTATTTCTTTATAAAAGAATGATGATATCAATTTTACTCCAAATCCAAAGAGGAAATCAAACTAATTCACTAATCTAAAAAAAACTAATGACAAAAACATATCAATGATCATATCGTAGCTTGTAAGTAAAATACTAAAGAAGAAAAAACCAAAATGATACATATCACATTGTGACCATTTTATGATAAGTTTGATTTTTTAAAAATATAAAAGAAAATCTTGATAAAAAAGAATTTTGATCAATTTTATATGACAATTATTAAATTAATTAATGTAAGTGTAAAAATTAACGGAAATTTTAAATTTGAATATTTTTGGTTTAAATGATGCAAAATGTTTTTAAAGATGCAAAAAAAACTAAAAGATGCAGAAAAAATAAAAATCATCAAAAGTATTCAAAATGTTTAAAAAAGGTGCAAACCATTTTCGAAAAGATGCAAAAAAAGGTGCAGAAAAGTTAAATATGATCCAAAAAAGTTCAAATTCTAAATTTTTGTTAAACAAAAATCTAAAAAAAACAATTCTTTTCTTTTATAAATTTTATTCCAAGTTATTTGAGAAAATAATGGTTGAAAAAAGTTTATGAGATTTAAAAACAACCAACTTTTTAGCATTTAAGAGACGTCATTTAAAAGCATTAGCAAACTTTATTCTCTATATGTGAAGCATTTTTTAAAGAAAAGAAGAAAATCAATTTAAAGAATTAAAGTTTTGTGCATTTTGATTCAAGAACATGAAAGAATAATAAAAAAATTGTATTTTTGTGAGCCATAATAAAAGTTTCAAGAACCTCCTCAAAATAGGACAAGGAAAAAAAATATCTATATTTATTTATCAGACGCATTCAAGAAAAATATAAAATAGCTAGACATAATAAAATTTTAGCCTCCTAACCTGCAAAATATACACAATAAATAGCATAATATATTTTAGTATCTAACTTCCTATGGATGATGATTTGTGTTGAAAAAGGGATGTCAAAATCACTTTATTTCTAGGTCAGGTCAAAGAAACATCTTCGAATCATCACAATGAGCATCCATATGAACCTTATTTACATTTCCTCATTCCATGACTGAATTCATCCTTCATCAATCTCCTTATTACCTTAAATTGGCTCCTTTTTTCGTCATACATAATAAACAAGATTCTTTATTTTTCTCAATAAATCCTCAAAAGACTTTAAAGTACTTTTATGATGATGACGATGTCAACAGAATTATAGCTGAATGCGAAACACAAAAATAAGAAAAATATGAAAAAAAAACAATGTTCTTTAATGTTTCTAAATGTGAAAAAACTCAATTTTTTGATCAATAAAGAAGAAAAACATTCGAAAAAAAGAGATAGAAAATTAATTTGGTGCTCCTTGAACTTATGCAGCTCTTAATGACTTTTTTTTGTTAAGTTTTTTTTACAGCAGCTTTCGGGTTTTCGAAAATTTCAGTTATGTTTGAAATTAAGGAGGTAAAGTATATCAAACAATATAAATGAATGAAACTTAGCAACATGATGCAGTCAGTGATTATGTAAAGAAGTTTTGTCAAGAATACATCTGAAGTTAAGTGACTCTGTGGAGGAGTAGGTAAAGGGTTAGGATCAAGTTTAGTGTTTCAACTCAAAGGTTTTCGGTTCGAATCCTGCAAGATTCTAATTTATTCTTTTTCAGATGTTTAGACAGTTAATGTTTATTAAAAGACATCGAGACGAAGCTGTGAGCAACGCTAAGAACAAGTCAGGATCTAGAAATGTAGTAGGATAATTAAAACAGAGAGCTACAAGCTAGCACATGAATGAAACATTAATAAAGCTGACTTGAATCATCATTATGCACATAAAAGATCGAAACGAGATGCAGCATTATTAAAAACCCAGATTTTAAAATTAGATGCTTGATCCTACATGGAAAATAACAAAAATCTGCCTGAGCTTGGCTTTATATACATGTTTCAATAAACATATACTCAATGGGTGTAGAAATGAGTATAGGAGCAACTGAGGTCATCCTCACAGTTGGCTATAGCCAAAATTTATCTTAAAATAAGCTATGCCATCCAAATAAACCATCAAATTCATTCACACATAATAAATTTCAGAGCCATGCACTCTTATCATTATTTCACATAATTTACCTTTATTTCCACGGTAGTCGCGAGGGCAGGAGAGAAAGTAATCATATGGACAAAAATGATTAACACGAATTAAATGATTATCAGTTATCAAGGAATTTATCGCATTATCATCGAAACGCAATGTTAATCCAATAAAAGTGCCATAAAACAGAACTTTTTATCGCTCTCACAATAATTTTCATGTTTACTTAAGAGCACAAAAACACAAATTATAAATAAATTATTTTTCGACTTTTCGATTTTGCTTCCATTCGATAATCAGTAGTGTTTTAGAACAGAGGAAGTAAGTGTCTAAAAGTTCACAGCTCTTTTCATATCAAGCTATTTAGATCCTTCTTTACAGGAAGCTAGAACAAATTTTTTGAAGGATAGAATTTAATATTCATTGCATGAAAGCCAAAGCAGTCAAAGTCAATCAAAAGACGACGCACAAGACACGGAACAGATGGTAAATTTTAAATCCAAACCCGAGCAGCACAAGAGACTTGATATGGTTCAACCATGTCGTCTAATTCAAATCAAAGCATTTGACAGGCGTGATGAAAAACCAAAAGTAATTTTATGTCGAATAAAAGTCATCTGCTATAATGTGCTGCTCGGGATAATAACTTCCTTTGTTCTAGATATTAAAGCTTAAATTCCTTTTAAAGTTATAACAGCTATCACAGTTGCACGAATAGTCCTCGATGCGATAAAGTTTTCGCAATAATTTTCATCATGATCATAACAGGGATCTTCATCACATCCATTTTTATGTCGATTGTAAAGGCTAATTGGATTGTACTTCACCGTTCACCTCTCAATGTGTAAGCCAAGATATATAGATGAGCTCATACAGAGTATACTTGACCATACTCGACCATACTATTTTTTGTGTACTTATACAAACAAAAATTTTTAAAATTTTCTATTTTCAAGTTTTCATTTAAATATCGACAGATGCAACAATATTTGTCTTAAGTCAGTTTCTTTAAATTATAGCAAAGCATTTGCAATACTCCTGTATCAACAAAACTTAACAGAAAGTTGAAAATTTTGCAAAACAAAAATTGAAAATTTTCTTTTATAGTGTTAGTGTTTTTAGAAAATTCAAATTTTTGACGTTTAAAAACTGCGATATTTTTGTATGAGCACATCTATATATCTTGGTGTAAGCCATAAAATATTTCAGCCATATGGAAATAGTTTTTTTTATCATAGATAATTTTTCTTTATCACAAACTTTTTTTTATATCAGGTCTGATGATAACATTGGAAATGGAATCTTTTCGGATATTGTGGTAAACAATGAGAATCTTAGTACAGAGGATAATTCTCTTGAGCAAGCAACAACAGAAGCAGTTAATGTGGAGAGATATTTGGAAAATTTGAGTGACGTTTACAATGATGAGCATGCATATGAATCTACAACTGAAATGTTAAATGATGAAATTGATAGGAATGATAATCCGAAAAAGAAGGACAATGATCCAGATCCAGGAACTTTAGAACCAACTGAACCGCAAATGACGACACCTGAAATTACATCATCTACTATTTTATCGACAACAACAAGTAAAACAACCACAAAACCTACAACGACTTCTCAAGAATCTACAACATCTATAATATCATCAAGTCCAGAACCATCAACAACAACCTCACAATTATCTACAACTTTACAATCATCATCTACAACATCGATATCAACAGATTCACCATCAATACCGTCTCCTAATCCTTGCTTAATAACTGATAGCGAACAATGTGAAATTACATGCTCAAATACTAATTCAACTGAATTAACAAACGCATTAATTCATCTAATTAATGGAGTCGATTTGATGGTAAGTACTTATTTATTAAAATCTCCTGTATCAAGTGGCTTTATGAATATTATGGTCGTGAACTCAGTAGTCATCATGCAGTAGCAATTTTATTTATCGTTATAATATTTTAATGATGATGCATAGCACAGATGCGTGACATTCTGTTTAATTTTATATCAATATGCAAATTGAATCGTATGGGATTCGAACCTATATGTTTTTAATTTATTGGTCAGCTGTACATATTAATTGTTGACCACGATGATCGTTTGCTGTATATCAATTTTAATGCTGTTACTTTGCTATAGAGATTTGAAGCAGAATTCTAATTACTAATCTAGTACCTTTCAAATCAGGCATTATCTTCTTTATGTAGCTATATTTATAATTATTAACCACTTTTCTAATTTCATAGGAGTATCCTGAGTGCCCATTTGTAGACATCAAACTGAATCTTGTGAACATAAGATTTTCAGATTCTGGTTTGTCAAATTCTTCGCTGGGAAATATTGGAACTAACATATTAGAATTAAAGATTGAAAATCCAAAATCATTTTCACAAATCAAAGAATTTCCATTCTATTCAGAACAATTTTCAACAATGGAGAGTTTGTCTATTGACGGTAAAGGATTAATATCATTAACTTTAGAAGTTTGTAACATTTTTACTGGAGCAACTAGTTTAAAGTCAATTAAATTTACTGATTTTGTAAGAATTAATTTCGATCCTAATGTGCTCTCGCTTCTTAGTCAAACGCTGACACATCTCGAAATTTCAAAATCAACAGATCCAAATCAGTACTTCAGATCTCGTTTGCCTGACTTATTACAAGATTCAAATCTACAAAAAATAGAATTTTTAAATTTCCAGCAGCATAATATTACTAACATCAGCTTGTCAAAACACATTTTTGAGTCTAGTAAAGATTCAATCAAAATCCTTAATTTGGCTAATTTACATGTTATAAGTTTAACAAATGATACATTCGCTGGATGTAATCAGCTGAAGGAGCTTCATCTGGAAAACAACTTAATCAAAGAACTCCCGCCTGGAATTTTCAACGATCTTGAAAACTTGGAAATGTTATTTCTACAAAACAATCTTTTAACAACCATTCCTGAGAAACTATTCGATACACAACTAAATTCTCAAAGTTTATCAATTCTTGATCTTTCAGAAAATTTTTGGTTTTGCGATTCTAAACTTTTGTATTTAAAGAACTTTCTGCTTAGTACAACAGCTGAAGTTACGATCAATAATTGTGATGGACCTAAAAGTCTTGCTGGTAGACCTATAAAGGATCTTTGGTGCAATGTTGACTCATGTATGATTTATTGTGAGTTTACGGCTAGATTGGAGTTGCTGAAAGAACTTGAGGATATTGATATGGTAAGTATATGTTTCAATATGTTATGGATTTATAAACAATTTAACTAGACACTATTCAGACTAAGTGGTTAAGGATTGTGACTTTGAGAATTTTTTATATTCCCACAAGTCATTTTCTAACCTCAAAATTAGAATTTTAAATTTAGGTCTCCCTTAAGTCCTTGACATCTCTTACTTAATGTCTAATATTTGAAATCAATTTATTATTTAAACAGTCTTCATGCACAGAAGTTGAATTACATCTAAAGTATCACACCTTCAATGAAGAAACATTATCGGATCAATGGTTATCACAACTAGATTTCAGCATACACAAACTGACTATTGCTCATTCAAACATAAAAAGTATCAAAAATGGAACATTCAATTCGATTTTATTCGAGAATTTGAGAGAACTGATAATTGATCATAACAACGAGACTGATTTAGTCATAGAACAGGATGGATTTCTTGGATTGAAATCAATTGAAGTTCTTAAGATTGAAAGAACAGCTGGATTATCTTTAAACTCCGAAAATAATATATTGGAACCAATCAAAGTTACACTGAAGGAGATTTCTGTCAGTTACTTAATAGAACCTTTCAATCCAAGATTGTTGTTCGAAAATACAGAACTGCTGAACTTGAAGGTTCTTCATCTAACAGGCAATAAATTTGAATTCATTGAGTTTACATCCACAACCTTTGAAGGACTTCATGAGAATCTTGAGGAAATATTTATAGTCAATTCTGAAGTTATAAATATTACAACAGATGCCTTTTCTGGATTCAAGAATTTAAAAAATATCAACTTATCTGGAAGTTATATTGAATCGTTGGATGGTCAATTTTTCGGAAGTAATTCTGATAAAAAATTAGTGTCAATAAATCTGTCAAATTTAAAACTGAAGAACATTGAGATTGACACGTTTAATGGCTGCAAACAGTTGCTTAAATTGAGTTTGAGTGGTAATTCCATAGAATCTTTAAATCCTGGACTATTTGATGACTTAGAAAATTTGGAATTTTTGGACTTACAAGACAATTTGTTAACAAATATTCCCGATAATTTATTCAAAACCCAACTTGAATCAGAGAATCTAAAACTAATAAATTTCACAAATAATCCATGGAATTGCGACATCGAGATTATTCATCTAAAGCAGTTTTTGATCAAAACGGAAGCAGAAATTCTAATTGATGGTTGCGCTAATCCAAATCTTTATGGAGAGGATATAAAAGATTTGTGGTGTAGACAAAAGGAATGTCAACTGATTTGTGAAAAAACTGATGATACCACGTTGCCAGTGGCTTTACAAATTTATGAAATGGTGAGTATAATTGTGCATGTTCATATCATGAGTTTGAAACCAAGGCGTGGAAACTCAGGAATAATCCTGAAAAATCCCAAAAATCCCAAAAAAATCCATGAGTCAATAAACATGGAAATGTGAAATCCCTTTTAAATCACTGATGCATTTGATGAATAACTTCGGGATTTAAAAGGGATTTCACATTCTCATGTTTATTGGCTCAGGGATTTTTTAGGATAGTCGAGATTTTTCAGGATTATTCCTGAGTTTCCACGCCTTGTTTGAAACTGTTCTTGTCATATCTACAATACTGGATGTAATAGATTAAGAGATCAGTTTCTGATGGGAATCGAACCCACGTCCTTATAAAAGAAATTTTTAGAAATCAGGTCTGTTGTATAACCATTCGGCCACAGAAGGCTAAATCTTGCTCTGGCAGAATCACCTATATATGGCTAGATATCCCAGATTCTTCTCTGATTAGACACAACTCAATTCTTGTTTCGATCAGTTCCATTTACTTGTTTTACATGAAACATAGGTCAACTTTAAATCTAATTCTATTAAAATTCATTCTTCATTCCAGGAAAATTGTGATGCAACTTCATTTTATCTGATTTCACATCATTTCGTCAACCGAACAATAAGAAACAATTCTTTATCAGACATTAAATTTAACGTCGATAAAATGCACTTTAAGGGAACAGATATAGAGTCAATAGAGAATAATGCATTTAAGTTGACAGTTTTCGAAAACCTTCAGGAATTAAAAATCAGTAAATTTACAAAATATTCATGCTATATTAATCAATATGGATTAAGTGGATTGAATTCAATTAAAGTCATCACATTTGAAAGTTTAAAGGGATTGAAAACTTTCACATCTTACAGCATATTTTCAACTGTTCAAAATACAGTTAAAGAAATAACAGTCAAAGGAATTATTGAGCCAATTAATGTTTTTCAGATGTTTAATAAGCCAAACTTTACGAATCTCCAAGTTATAATGTTATCAGAGAATATTTTAAATTCTGAAATAAATACACAAACTTTTAGAGGTGCTCATGAAACCTTGGAAGAAATTTATTTGCGTCATACGAGGAACGTAACAACAGGATCTGATGCATTTTCTATGTTTGAGAATTTAAAGATTGCTGATTTTGAAGGAAGTGATTTGTATTCCCTTGATGGTCCATTCTTTGGAAACAATCCAGAAAAAAATAAAATAAAGTCAATCAATCTTTTCAATACTAAACTAGAGAGTCTTGGTAATGAAACATTTGTTGGATGTAAGCAGTTGACAGTCTTGGATTTAAGCAACAATTCGTTAAGTTTTATCGAGACAGGAACATTTGACGATCTTGAAAATTTAGAATATTTGCATCTTCAAAATAATTTATTAGAGTCAATTCCAAAGAATTTATTTAAAATTCAACTGGAAGCTGATAAGTTAAAATTTATGGATTTGTCAAGCAATCTATGGATGTGTGATGGTTCCATAACTTACTTGAAACATTTTTTGGAATTTACTAAAGCTGAAATAATAATAAATGGATGTGTTGGACCTGAAAAATTCCTCAATCAAACAATTAAGGATTTGTGGTGTAGAATTGATGATTGCATTATAACATGTGAAGGAACTGATGATTGTCTTGCTCATGTTTTGGATTATCCCATCAATGTAAGTTTGTTTTTAAGGGATCGTTCACTTATGACGTCCAAAATTAACGGTCATTTGTTAAAGACGAACAATGGATTTCCAGGAATTTCTATTGTTTTTTTCTAGCTGACCTCTCTCCCCCCTGGAAGTCATAAGTGAACGGCCCCTTAATTATTACTGGTTCGAAGTTGTTAAATCATTTGGTTCTACTATTTTGGATAGCAAAAGTCGGTTAATCGATCAGAAATCCGACACTAGCCCATCGTGACTTTAGCAAAGCACTGGATTTGATTTCCTCCCAGATTCATGCAGGCTTAACCTCGAATTTCTCATCGATTAACCGAATTGTGCTGTTCGGGTACATTTTTGGGCTATAAAAATTCAGAATGGGCCAGTCTTTAATACTAAGAAAGATTTTTTCATTATTTTCAGTTGAACTGTGATAAAATCGAGTTGAGACTAAATGCTCATATAGCTCCTTCACTTATAATCAATAGCTATTTCCTATCAAATTTAAATTATAGCATCCAAAAGCTATCCATAGACAAATCACCAATTGAAGTAATAAATGAAAACGCATTCAATTCTAAAGTTTTTGGAACCTTAGAAAGTTTAGTGATGACAAGAAACTTTAATTCATGCTTTATTACTTCAACTAGTTTTGCTGGACTTGATTCCATTGAATTTATAGAAATCGATCAATCTCCTGTGATTTCCTGGATTTCTACAGCATATGTGTTTGCGCCAGTCAGGAAGACACTTAAAGAGTTGCGATTAACAAACATAAAGGAATATTTTAATGCTGGTGAACTATTTGAAAAGACGCAATTTGAGAAGTTAAAAATTTTACGTCTTGATGGAAATGACTTTACATGGCTGAATGAATCATATTTTGCTGGAACTCATGAAACTCTTGAGGAAATGCATTTACGTGGATCTAAAATATCAAAATTAAATGCAAACACTTTTTCAGGATTTAAAAATTTGAAACTGATTGATCTTCGAGATAATAAACTTACAACTATGGAGTCTAGTGTCTTTGGAGATGGAGTAATTGATGATAATTTTAAAGTTTTAATCTCCGGCAATGAATGGAACTGTACATGTGATATTGAGTTCTTATTGGATTTTATAGCTGATGAAGTAAATGTAACATGCAAATCACCAGATGAACTAGCTGAAAAAAATATTTTTGATCTAGAGGAAATTTGTGTTGTGCCGACAACGACTACAGAAGGTATGAAACTGTTTTGGTTTGATATTTGTTGCATTAAGGTTTTAAAAGTTTAATCCTAAGAATTTGTAAAATATAAAGTTACAATATTAATTTTTAATAGAACCAACTACAACAACATCTTCAACAACCCCGACAACATCTACAACGGAAGAATCAACAACAACAACAACTCAAAAACCAACTACAACAACCAAGAAACCCACAGACAGCACTAAAAGTGATGCTAATCTAACTTCAGATGTATCAACAACCCCAGAAACTTCTCCTACACCAACAACAGTCTCTTTGTCACCATCAACAAGTACACCAAGTACTACAACATCTATTGATGTGACAACAACATCATCAACACCTGATACAGCAACAACAACAACAACAGAAGGACCAGAAAACTCAGGAACAACCACAACAGTCTCATCAGAGCCTGATTATAATACAACGACATCTGAAAACCCAGAAGTCACTACTCCGAGTGGTTCATCTACAAGACCGACTACAACTTCACCAAAAAGTCAATCTACGCCCAACTATATCACCTGTTATGATCCCGATAATCCTGAAAGTACATCACAATCTCCTTGGCATTATGATTTTCAATCACGATACTTGCCATCAAATGTACAGATTCCACTAGACAGACCGCATTATGAGTTTAAATCTATTAAAACTAAGGTGGGGACATTAAATGAAGTCAGCATCGAAATCAATGATTTTCCATTTGGATCAATTTTATTGTATTATCCGTCAACTGATGATCCATTTGCACCAGAGAAGGTATATGATGAGAGGTATTCAATCAGATGTCAAACTGTGACCAAAACACTGATTTTTGTAAAGAATTTAGCTCCAAATGTCATTTACAACTTTTGTCTAATCATCAATGTATCCAATTATCAGCTTCCATATATTTCACCATTCCAATGTAGATCATATGAAATAGAAGTTGGACAGCCATGGCTGTATGAAGAACAGAAAACTGTAATTTTGACGTCACTTTCGTTGCTTATCATAATGGCATTAATAGTTGGCATAATCATGACATATTGCTTGATAAGGCAAATTCCAACATTGATAAAAGGCAGCAAGCGTGTGGTTTTAGTAAATAATCGAGCAAGGGAGGTAATGATTCTTCCTAGAAACAGCACACAGTCAAGCAGTCAATCGGTTAGTAGTTCTTGTCATAAAGAGGCAGTTACTCCGATTCATAATGAAGCTCCGACTTATTTGACGCCATTGCCAAGGCAGTCGTTTGATCAAAGGTAAGTACATGGCTATGCTTATGGTTATCAAACATCACAGTAACTTATTGTTCCTCCCACAGACCCCCATTCCATCGAAGTTCATCAGACACCAGTCTTAAAAGCTACGTCTCAGTTTCCCGTCTACCACCACGCTTCTCTCAAGTTTATCAACGAGATGACTTTGACACTGCATGCTTTAAACATCAAATGAGTTATCCTCATTGTCCACCAACAGCTCCTTATCAGCCATTATCAGACATACCACCACCACTACCAAGACGTTCAATTGTTTCTAATTCATCATCGACACAGCACTCGTGCGCTTCTACAGCTGAACTTGGACGGACAATGTCAAGAGCTCATAACTCAACATATAGACGACATCCACGTCCGATTGAGATTGAACAAGAAAATCATTATAATGTAATAATTTAAATGAGGATTTTAAAAAAAATAATAATTTTTTAACCCACACATAAATATTCATAAATTATTAAAACTGCACAATTTTTAATGAGACGAACGGTAGAAAAAAAGGTAGTCGAAGCAATAAAACGAATGATTGAACTGCAATCAGGGATTTAACATCGAAATTTTTGAAATCATAAATTATATTTGAATAATTATCTATTATTAATGAATTGCGCTGAGCATGAAATAAATATTAAAATACGATTTATTAATTGCACTGATTGTTGACTTGAATTATGACTAAATGAGTTTTGGCATATTTTTCACTCTCAATGCATAATGTTTTTTTTTTGTGTGGCTATAATATTATATTCTGTACATTTACTTTAATTATCTCAATAAAATTTTTTGAAAGCTGTTAAATTTATTGACAAAAATATTAAATTCAATGTTTGTTGGTTCTTTTGATGAAAAATGAATAATTGCTTTAGGGTCGTCTGTAAATGAAGTTTCAGTATGATTTGTTGCTCAGTGTGTAGCATAATCTTCACTAAGCAGTTGTATCTTACTATCTTAGAACTAGTGTTCATGTCGACTCTCGTTCCAATTTTCAGTGAATCACAATGTCTCAAGGTCCGGACCAGTAAAAGCCCTCCATTGTGAATTTACGGCTCTCGTATCTTTTTTAATCTGTCTAAATAATTCTTCTCCCGTTCCTACATTTCACATCGCCTAATTCTTAGTTACGTCTTAAACTGCTGAACCTAAGAAGCCGAAGTTTCTAAATTTTTCAAAAATTACTAGGCTTGTGGTGGGATTTGAACCCAAGAGTTTAAATTCAACACCAACTTTTGTGACCTGTACCTTGCCAACTGAGCTATTAAGGCACTTTTGCTTCTCCAAAACAAAAAATGGTCTGATGAAATGATCAAAAATGAACAAAAATGATCAAAATTGATCAAAAATGATCAAAAAATGATCAGAATGTAATTCTTCAGTTCCGCACCCTTGCTAAAAATTCAATAATGAATGTTGAAAATGTTTTTTGTAATGGGATTTGAACCCGCTATTGAATGAAAGCTATTTCCTCATTTACTTAGTGTCCTTAAGCTATTCGCATACTAGTCTATTAGAATCATAATTTACATTCAGCATACATACAATTTAATCGTAAAACGTTTAGAAATGAAACATCAACTTGAAAATAACTCATCTTCAAATGAAATTCGAGACTGCATACTAAACACATGCTTTGAAACCAAAATAAAGTCGATTTCTATAAAACATTTCAATCTTCTCGTAATTCAGCTTCGGAACCTATCTTAATAATTTTTCCGCAAGCTTGAGGCCGAAAACTACGTTGTAGAATTGAGAGTATCAAAACAAGGAATCGCTGCTATTTACAAGAAAAACAAATGAACATTTCTCAAGCCAAGCGGAACATTTTTTTACGGTGAAAATTTTTTTACTTCCCATTGTTCTCAGCTAGCGATGAGTGCCAAAATTTGAATCATTTATAGCCTGAAATTTGCATAAAAAATTTCTTTATTTGTGAAAAATAAAATTCATTTTAATTGAAATAGCGACTGAAAAAACGAGAAGTTTAACATGGAAATTCACACCTGTTATAGTTTATTTTTTCTCATTTCTACAGCACGCTTCACAATCTCACTTAGTGGCACAATTAAAAATATGTATAATTTCACTTGCAAATATTAATGCAATACGAGAAAAATTTTTATCCCACAAATAAAAATTGCTTTTATTTTCATTACAGATTGTATTATGATAATTTGCATGAATTCATGAAAAAAAAGTATGATGATTCCACACTCTATTTTTTTCTCGTATTGTTTAATCTTTTTCTTCTACCTTCGTTCGTGTGTTTTATTGAGATATTGTTCAAACCATGAAATAATCCATTACATTGCGCTTCTTTATTGCTGCTTATACAAATTTTATTTATTTTACAATTTTTTTCATCATTTCTAGTTATACTAATTCGTTAGCGGATTGTGTTGATGTGATAACATTGGGTTAGGTTGCATTTTGGCTAATGTTGTTCAATTTTTGGGATTTTTTGTATTATTTTCTTTTTTTAATTTTGAAAATTTTTTTGGTTCAAAAATGTATAGTTTTTACACGCTTTTTATTGAGTTGCTCTGTCTGTTGGTTTCTTTGTCACGTTCAAATCTTGCAATCGATTTTTCGACCACTTCTACTTCTTCAATCGAGCTCAAATTTTTTATGCACACGTGTTCCCGGTGACAATACAATATTTTAAGACTTTGGAAACACAAAAATGCTTAATTATAGTACAATTTATGTAAAACTTTTTTATATGGGAAAAAATCCAATGTCAATGATATAAAATTTTGATTTGTATTAAATATTATACTTGTGATGCTCTAAAGTCATTTATATGATTCATTATAGTTTAATTAATATTACTAATTATTAATTATACCATAAATTTGAGCAGCTAAAGATATTCTGGTAAGACAAAAAAATTGACATGTAATTTTTTCATGAATATTCGTAAGTGAAAATTTGAATTTTCAAAAAAACCGTTAAGCTTTAGTCCGTCACGAATTAATGCAAAATAACTATTAATATGCGATGTGCATTTACCACACATAGTTTGAGCATAATTTATGCTGTTTTAAATGTATTGCATTGTTTATAACACTTCACCAACTTAATTAAATTGACTTTTCTTTTTATTAACGGCTTGACGTATTTTTGCATAACATATGAATGATATTCATTGAATTTAAATTTGAAAATCCGTTATAAATACGTTACATATGTGATGTAATTTGCATCTTTATGTTAAGAATCCACACGTTATGAAGTAGAAATGGTACAGATAAACACAAAATCTTTACGAGTGATTTTTAATGTACTTCACTAATGAATGCTTTAAAAAAATTAAATTTTATAAAACTAATGAAAAAATTTTGAAAGTCGTTACTAATTTCCCATTGAAAACTGGTAATTTATAAACAGTTGAACGTAACGGAGTGAAACGGAGTGGAGTTCAACACACCTGTAACCTATGAACCTACTGTAATCTATAAACAGTTGAACGTAACGAAGTGCAACGAAGTGGAGTTCAACACACCTGTAACCTATGAACCTACTGTAATCTATAAACAGTTGAACGTAACGAAGTGCAACGAAGTGGAGTTCAACACACCAGTAACCTATGAACCTACTGTAATCTATAAACAGTTGAACGTAACGAAGTGCAACGAAGTGGAGTTCAACACACCAGTAACCTATGAACCTACTGTAATCTATAAACAGTTGAACGTAACGAAGTGCAACGAAGTGAAGTTCAACACACCTGTAACCTATAAACCTACTGTAATTTATAAACAGTTGAACGTAACGAAGTGCAACGAAGTGGAGTTCAACACACCAGTAACCTATGAACCTACTGTAATCTATAAACAGTTGAACGTAACGAAGTGCAACGAAGTGGAGTTCAACACACCTGTAACCTATAAACCCACTGTAATCTTTAAACAGTTGAACGTAACGAAGTGCAACGAAGTGAAGTTCAACACACCTGTAACCTATAAACCTACTGTAATCTATAAACAGTTGAACGTAACGAAGTGCAACGAAGTGGAGTTCAACACACCTTTAACCTATAAACAAACTGTAATCTTTAAACAGTTGAACGTAACGAAGTGCAACGAAGTGAAGTTCAACACACCTGTAACCTATAAACCTACTGTAATCTATAAACAGTTGAACGTAACGAAGTGCAACGAAGTGAAGTTCAACACACCTGTAACCTATAAACCTACTGTAATCTATAAATAGTTGAACGTAACGAAGTGCAACGAAGTGAAGTTCAACACACCTGTAACCTATAAACCTACTGTAATCTATAAACAGTTGAACGTAACGAAGTGCAACGAAGTGGAGTTCAACACACCTGTAACCTACAAACCCACTGTAATCTTTAAACAGTTGAACGTAACGAAGTGCGACGAAGTGAAGTTCAACACACCTGTAACCTATAAACCTACTGTAATCTATAAACAGTTGAACGTAACGAAGTGCAACGAAGTGAAGTTCAACACACCTGTAACCTATAAACCTACTGTAATCTATAAACAGTTGAACGTAACGAAGTGCAACGAAGTGAAGTTCAACACACCTGTAACCTTTAAACCTACTGTAATCTATAAACAGTTGAACGTAACGAAGTGCAACGAAGTGAAGTTCAACACACCTGTAACCTATAAACCTACTGTAATCTATAAACAGTTGAACGTAACGAAGTGCAACGAAGTGAAGTTCAACACACCTGTAACCTTTAAACCTACTGTAATCTATAAACAGTTGAACGTAACGAAGTGCAACGAAGTGAAGTTCAACACACCTGTAACCTATAAACCTACTGTAATCTATAAACAGTTGAACGAAACGGAGTAAAACGAAGTGGAGTTGAATTTGAATTGTTGTGGTCGAAATTCGATTAAAAGATTGAGACTAAAAGGTAGCAAATAAAAAAACGTTAAAAAAAACTTTTTAAAAAACACGCTTTTATCAAAAAGACTAAAAACCAAAAAGTTGAAAATAAAATAAGATCACACTTTTAGCGAATCAGGATTTTAAAATTTTCTTGTGATAACTAGAAATGTAACATAAATTTTTTCAAAATATTGTGATTAAGTCCAAGAACACAATGACTCTAAAAGCGTGGGGCGTAATTTAAGGATAATTTCTTAGTTCAGCTATGTTCTTAAGTAAGAGAACGTCAAGTCTCAAAGCCCCACGCTTTTAGAGTCATTGTGTTCTTGGACTTAATCACAATATTTTGAAAAAATTTATGTTACATTTCTAGTTATCACAAGAAAATTTTAAAATCCTGATTCGCTAAAAGTGTGATCTTATTTTATTTTCAACTTTTTGGTTTTTAGTCTTTTTGATAAAAGCGTGTTTTTTAAAAAGTTTTTTTAAACGTTTTTTTATTCAGTTTTCAAATGCATAGGCTTTATGCTTAATGTTTATGTAACAAAAAACTTAGTGCCACATATGACCATTATTTAAAGCTGCGATAGTTTTTATCTTTAAAGAAACTTTCAAAATTATCTGCATGAACAATCAATCGATCGATCGAAAGACGACCACGGACTTGATCGGCGATCATGATCGACAATTGATCGCTCGACCGTCAATTATTTGATCTTTTCTTTTGACAAAAAAAACAAGCATTTTTCATTTTTCGACCAAGGATCGCTCGATGAGCTCAGAAGAACCGATCAGATTCGATTAGATTAGGTCGATTAGATCAGAAGAGAAAATGGTCGTTCGATCATCGATCATTTGAACAATTTTTTCCAAAAAGTGGTCGAAATGGTCGATGATCGAGTGACCAGTTATCGATAATGATCGGCGATCTTAAGTTTTAATTTATAACTTATCTGTAATGGTAATCGAAAATTAATGTGGTTTGGGGACAAGCCCTTCTTCTCAACTTTGAAAATACATTTCAATTTAACACACTAGCTATGCAGACACAGGTGTCATGGTAAAAACTAACATTAAAACAATTATATTGTCGATAAGATTACAGCAATATGTTGATAAGACGGCACCGCAAAGCAGTTGATAGAAGGATAGATATAAAAAGCAATTAAAAGAAATTATGTGATGAAAAAAGTGTGTTTCCTACAAAATTGTTTAAAATTCGATATTATCTTCAATAAATTAATTAAAAAGACTGCGAGATTAACTCTTAATTAAACTAAGATTCATAGTTCTATCTATCAAATTGCAGTTCAACTAAAGTCAATAAGAACAGATGCAAAAATAATGTCTCTTAACCAGACATCTCAAGACAAGTCAAGTTCACTTCTAAAGTCACGAGACACACAAAAATGCTATAAAACAGTTTGCATCTGTTGCACACATTTATTTGCGCTTTAATCCCTAATCCACAAACAATTTACTCAAACTTTTGCATCATTTCTTTCTCCTTTAAGTATATTTTTATAACCAGTTTCAGATGCGAGTGAGATTACACTAATAGTTGCTTGCTGTTGTTTATAGTGCACATATTACACTTATATTTCTTTTCTTTTCGTTTCACAAAGAAAAAAAAAATAATATTTTATAAACGAAAAAAAAAAATCTTCATCACAATGCATGCAACAAAAAGAGAAGAAGATGTGCAGCAACAATTTTTTTCTGGTCTTCTTCTTTAATTTTTCTTCGTGTCGCGAACGATATTAATGTGATGTACTTGTCTTCATGTCTGCACGTTTTTATTGGATGCATTTGCATATTTTGGGATGGCTTGGAATGAAATTTTGTTATAAGGATTTTTTTGGAATGAAGTTTTATGGTAATGAGGTTGAAGACTAGTAAGATGAGAATACATGAGATTTTTTTAAATGAAGATAATTAAATTTAAGTGAGCATTTAGGGTTGTGATACATGAAACTATATGAAAATTACTATTTGGATGAATGATTTTATATTCGACAAAAAGGTAGATGGGGAGCTAGTTGTAAAGCTTTTAGAAATTTTAGGATCTTGTTTTGAGGTTATATCTTGAGCGACACATTTTGCAGGAACAAATCTCAATTTATGCATCGAAATATGTTCAAAATAGTCCTCAGAGCATCTTATGCAGAAGCGTTTAGTAAAACTTTTCTTGTCTACGCTCTGATTTCATGACTTTTCAGTATATGGTGATACTTTTATCAGGGGCGTAGCCATGAGCTTAAAGAGGGAAGAGGAGCATGTATGGCACAATTTTTTCATAAGAATCATAGCAAAATTAAGAAAATATTATTGGTGAATGAGAATTTATACGTAAAATTTCACCCCTCTCCACCTTCGTCCTAGCTGGGTGCCTGATTTTTATGGTTAAGTTTCTGAGGCTGCTTTGCTTTGTTCACAGTAAAACTTTGCTTATACGCAAGTACGTAGAACCTGAATCGGTTTTCGAGGGTTGGGACACAAGCTAGCCCCAGTAATTCCGCTTTACTTAAAGTTCTTGACCTGAGCCTTGATGCAACGTTGCACACAGTTCTATTATTGTCTTGATCTCTTTTCGAGGGTTGGGACACAAGGTAGTCCTAGTAAATCCGCTTTACTTAAAGTTCTTGGCCTGATCCTTGATGCAACGTTGCACACAGCTCTATTATTGTCTTGATCTTATTCATTAAGCACCATAAGTATCTAAACATTCAAAAATCATTATTAAGATTTTCTAAGATTTGAACTAACGTCCTTCAAGCTATCATTTTACTTTTAAGCCTAGCGCCTTATCAATTACTCCATTAGAGTACTCTAAAATATTTTATTGAATTACCCAAAACATAAACTTTATCATCAACTGTACTTAAGCATATCAGAAAAGTAATAAAAAATTCATATGTGACACACGAATCACGTCTCAATTTTACTTTTATTGCCTACGCATAAATGTTTTCATATCTCTTAAAATATAATAAATTATGCAGAACTTCTCAAGACTTTCTTTAAAAAAGAATTTTCCATGAAAATAAATTCACACACAAATTATATGACATAATTTTCAAACATCCCCCCTCATCTCAAAGCAAATATAATTTTCCTCATTTTTCATTAAATTATCGTTCATACTTTGCAATTCGATGTGAGCTCCACCATCAGCTATAAAGTGAAATGAAAATAATGGCAGGGTTTAAATTCAAATTCACAGGGAGAAAAATATAACAAATAAAAAAAAAAAGGAAAACATGTAGAAGTAATTTATTTTTAAAACATCATCAAATATACATGAACGAAGAAATTAGATAGAAAAAAAAAAAAATTCTTCTACATTTTCTATATACTTTCTTGCTGTACTCACTAATTTCCTTTGCTGTATGAAAAAAAAAATAAAGCATTCACAATTTTTTAGCAGACATCAACACATCAGCAGTTATTAACAATCTTGCTAGTGATTACCTTGTCTAGTGATCGGTTTTGTGTGATTTAATAAATAGAAAAGAAAAATGGTTCGTTAAAATAAATAAATTTTCTTCTTTTGTGGAAATTTTTTAATTTTTTTTTCCTTTCCTATCCATCAAAACAAAATAATTCAGGATGAATTAGGAAAAGATCAGCTTGCACGTAAGTTATAAGAATATTTTTTAAAAAATGAGGTGAATTATGGAGTAATTGTGATGATAAATGGGACGATAATGTCGTGAATAAATTAGAAATACATGCACATATGTGTAGTAAGGCATTTCTAGATTTCCATAAATTCACAATAACTGACTATAAACTGTTGTTTAAGGGAAATGTATGGAAATTATTTTTATGGTTATTGTTTTGTGCTGAATTGTGCTTATGAAAGGAATATGTAGCTACTATAGTCGTAGCAAGGCCTAAGTCCTTATTATCAGATTAGAAGCTACATGTTTTGGATTAATAAAGACAATTAGCACGGGTAAGACATCACTTAAGAGAGCTGAATGACAAATATTCTGTACAAGTGATATGTATCTAATTTTGTGAGTGTGTAGCAGAGATCGAAGCCGATTTTTTCGTCTTAACTCAAGTTTTGAGTTTTTTGATATAAAAAAGCCATGTTACGCCCATTTTAAGTATTTAAATTAAACTTTACATGTTTTACTATGATTCTGTGTAATATTTTGTCAGCATGTAGCTATAGTAAGCTCAGAATTTCAAGTTAGCCGATTTTAAGCCAATCGGCTTAAATTTCGGCTTAAAATTGGCTAATTTGAAATTCTGAGCTCACTATAGCTACATGCTGACAAAATATTACACAGAATCATAGTAAAACATGTAAAGTTCAATTTAAATACTTGATATGGGTGGTAAATGGCTTTTTTCTATCAAAAAAATCAAAAATTGAGTTAAGCCGAAAAAATCGGCTTGGATCTCTGGTGTGTAGGTTCGAATCTAAAGACATTTGAATAGGACATAATGGGATATAATATTTATAGATATGATCGCAAACATCAGTCAAAAGAAAATCTAAGAGACACCTAAAAATGTAACAATCACTTAAAGGCATGTTCATAAATGACGTCCATCAAATAAAAAGATTTTAAACCCCCTGCCTTTTGTCACAAATTATGTATGATGAAAACATTATTTTTTGAACTGTCAAAAAATTCTAGACTTCGTTTTTTCAAACTGCTAGACGTCATTTATGAACAACCTCAAACGTATGTTACTAGTCTCTAGAGCTAGTTTTTTAAGCTACTCGGTACTTAAAAAAGACAAATCGAAGGCACTGCTATTCAATTAATATATAGAATTCTGCTGTAGTTCACTCTTGACCTACAGTTTCAAGTGAAATCCGAACCACTACTTGATTTAGAACCAAGGCGTGGAAACTGGGATTATCCCATTGAATCCCACTAAAGTAATTAATCCTCTTTTTCGGACTAGCCACTTTAGTTTAATATAATTCTCAATAAACCTAATAATCCCAATAATTCAGAATAATCCCAGCATAATTTTATGTGTCTAAGCCTTGTTTAGAACAGATTTATTGAAAACACATTTTATAAACTTTGCACAGATTTGCTTAAAACAGATCAATTTTCAACTTTAAAAACATAAAAAAATCTTCTACAACACTTTACTTATAACGTCCGAAATTAACAGTCATTTTTGATGTTAACCCCCTTCCACCCCCCCCCCCTCCCCCTATGTGCCCCTGGACGACATAAGTAGCCCCTTAATATATTGCCATACTTTTTGCAGCACACCTTAAGTATTTGGCAACATATAAGTGTACTGAGGGTCAATGTGCTATCCTGTACACATGTTATCGGATGTACGTCTGGTTCACAAAGACAATTTATATGTATTTTATTATTTAGGCATTCCAATAAATTCGCAAGAAAGAAATAATGGAAATAGTTTGCAAATCAAATTGTCGTTCTATATTTAACCACCTGGCTATATCTATATTTTATTACTTTTTCTTGAATAAAAAATGCGAGACTTAAATATTCCAAAAAACATTAAATTTTATTATCAATTTTACATTTCTGTGTAGCCATAAAAATCTATAACAGCTAAAATAACACAAAATAATTTCAACCAAGCAGCATGTCTAAAGAATGTGTTATAAGTTCACTTAATAAGCAGTGAAAGCGCGATTTTTTATTTTTGCTAGCTACACGAAGGTAATTTATCATGACTAAATTTAATTTAACGGAAAATTTTTCACCCTTATACAACAACGAGATCCGCAAACCTAATTTAACATGTGATACCAAAAAAAAAATGATTGTGATAATAAAGTATCGTGGCATTTCCGATTACTATCAGCATTAAACCGTGAAGCGAATGCCAAATAAACGACAGATTATAAATAGCTTTATATATTAGCTCAGTAGATGAAATAAAAGCTTTATTGAGCTTGTACAGCACAAAAGAAGCTTGTTACGATCAATTTATGACTTATTGTAAAAAAATTTATTTTATTTATTTTCTAATCGATTTTTATGAATGGCACTAGAAAATTCCTCTGATGTAATCTATAAGTGGAAATATGATGAAATTTATGATAGCATTTCATGGTGTCATTTCGAGTGGAAAATAATAATATTGGTAGTCGTAAATAAAAGGTTCAAGAAATAACATTGAAGAATGAAATGAATTTCAATTTTTCAAGAAAAAGAAATAATTTTTTATGTTGACAATTTTTGAAAAATATTATTGAGATATAAGAGTATTAGAGTATAGAGTATAAACGATTCAAGAGCACGTAAAAGATTAGGGCATTGTAGGGGACTAGTTGGGAGTCCTCGTAATCCCGAGATTGAAATCCCAACTTGGGATACTTACTTAACCTTTCCATGATTACCTCATCGTTCTTTCTTCTTGACACTTATGCTTGTGTTCATTTCTCTAGTATGGTTATCTAGCATGCAATACATCCATTTCACTGCTTGCTCAGTTTTGTATCCTCAAGTTATGCATTTCTTGTTGCCATATCAAGAGCAAGTTTTACTTTAGACTGCTTAAGTCAAGGTAATAGATCATAATTCAAACGACCACACTATACAGCATAGACTAGCTCTGCGGTGGTCACAAAGCATTCAAATATTGATGTAGATTTTTAACCACATTCTTTCTAATATAAAGATGTGTAGGCGATCATTTGAGTTTCGACTTCATTAAGTACTGATCGGTGGAACTTATTAATTGATTAAAATCCTTTTGAAAACATAATTTTCATTATTTAAGAAAAAGATGGAATATTTCAATACCTTGTTCTTAGTAGGAATCGAACTTGGAGCTCTTATGATTTCCACAACAACACTCTTACGGTTAAGCTATTAAGAGTAGATTTTGAACTTTACAAAATGCTAACTTAAACTTTTAATCCACTTCAAACACAATCTTTGGTTTTCTTCGAATATAGATGGCCATTAAGCAGCATTTTTAACATGTGACTTAGTGTCTTAGGTGTTATCGATGCTATGGAATTAGAATCGTTAATAAATGGAACTTAAATAATTTATGCCTCTTTACATATCGTCAGACCAGCCAAATGAACACTTTTAATCGTCCCAAACTTAAATTCTCAAACTTAATTTCGCATTAAACAAAATTACATCCATCGACGTATTTCAACTTTAAATGACATTTAAAATTCAACCTTCAAACAAGACACAAACCTTCAATTTTTATTTTATTTCTTTACTCCACATTTCACCAAAAATAAATATTTATGCAGAACATATTTTTTATTTTGACGAGGGATGCAAAAAAATAACCTTTGTTGACCTTTTTCTCATGTTTTGTGTTCTTCTTTTAGTCCTCAAGAACGCTTTCGATGCCTTCGATCAAGAGAAAAAAGGCTGCATCAGCTCAAATATGGTAATGAACTTCTTATCTTTGAATAAATGATGGAATTTTGTGAATAAATAAAAGTTTTAGATGAATTTTTTTTCGGAAGGGATTTAAAAATCATCTTGAATTTTTAAAGAATCCAAATGATTCGACTTGCGATAAAAAATTCAATAAAAATCGAATCTACCCCAATTAAAAATTAATTGCTACTCTTAATGCATACTTTTTAGGTTGGCACAATTCTGTCGATGTTGGGTCATCAACTTGATGACAAAATGTTGAAAGAAATCATTGATGAAGTTGATGACGATGGATCAGGAGAACTTGAATTTCCAGAATTCGTTACATTAGCCTCCAGATTCTTGGTTGAGGAAGATGCTGAGGTGAGTTTTGTGATTTAATGATTCATGCAGTGGTTCTCAACCTGCTTTTGGGTTGTGTTTTGGTAATTAGCATTTTATAATATGCATGAGTAAGATTCAATTCTTATAAATGTATCGCGGCACATAGTTTGGGAACCACTGGCTTAAGATTAATAGATTGTATGTTTATTAATCTGTTGATGATTTGATATGAGCAATTTAAGGGATAATCACTGAGGATTATCTATTTTAAGAAAGTTTGAGATTTTTCCAGGTGTGCTTAAAATAAAAATGATTCAAAAATTCTCCTTCAAGTAGAAATCATCAATAATCCACACCATTTCATGTATTGAATTACATGAAACTGATAATTGACATCTACAGCACTTACGTCTGTCTATATCAGACCACCATGTATACTTTAAAGCTTTTCCACTGACCAAATTTGGAACTAACCGTACGTGCGAATATTAAACAAACGGCACGTGATTATATCATACAGAGAACAATGCAATTTAATGAGACTGCAAATAGGAAGAGAAAAAAAAATATGAATAATTAAGCATGCACGAATGAAAAATATGAAAATTCCAAAATGACTTTTTAATCTTTAATTCCATAATTGCTCATATTTTATGCATAAACGGTTCTTCTAATCTTGATGATATTAAATCTTTATCTTTAATTACTAATCTTTCATCATATCAATGCAGGCAATGCAACAGGAGCTCAAAGAAGCTTTCCGATTATACGATAAAGAAGGTAGGCTTACAGCATTTTTTTATATGTTGTTTACCAATAATTACGGTCATACTTGCTGCTATCTAATCTCTTTCGCTCACACACATTGCATACTGCCCACGAATTATTGTAAAAGAAAACAATTTCATGTAGATTACGTTCATACACCTTATAATTAATCAGCACTAATTTCTTAACTCTTTATTAAATTTTTATTATTTTTTAAAATTCAAAAATTTTTTTATTTGATGTTGAAAAGCTAACAAGCACATGACATGGCAATTGGTAACAATAATAAACAGCCCAAAAATTGCTGTTTTCGCGATAGACACCAATTAATAAGTTTTTCATTCATAGTTTTTAACTTCTGTTGTTCATGTTATGTGATGACGATTGTTGCACATTTCTTTCATTAAGCCTGTTTGGCAGTTTATTGCTAGTTTCATAATTTTTAATTTTATTTGTTTTTGTGAAATAAATAAAATAAGTTGGTGCAAATTTATGATTGAGAAAGACTTGGATGGGGATAAGCATGTTTTCTATAAAGTCAGACCTATTAATCAGCAAGAGTCTAGTGAGAAACTTTTTTTGTTTTTGAAGAGGAATCCATTTTTTTAATGAACTAGCTGACGACAGACCTAAGGTTACTCGGAACACCTCCCTTAAAAAAAGATTAATTTAATATTAAACTAACGCGAATGGCACAAGTCGTTTAAATTTAAATCTAGCACTCTGGCATGGTTTCAGTTTCAATTTAAATCCAGCACCATGCTAGAGTCATACCGGATTTGTGCCGGATTTCAGATTGATTTACCAACTTGTGTCATTCGTGTAAAATTGTAATTCAATAGTTTCATGTTAGGATCCTTTGTGTAACATTAAGAACCGGTCCCTGATCGTGGTCGGAATTCGAAAATTGAAATCTACTGAAATAGAAGCTTTAGCATTAAAACTACATTTTAAGAAAATTGAAACTCTATTTTTTTCAAATATACCTTTTGACTCTATCCATATTATGAACTTTACTAGGTTTATCATAAATAAAATCACATAAAAACAATATTTAACTTTAAATTACCACCACGTTAATTTTATAATGATGTCCTATTGTGAAACATAACTTTAACAGCACGAGCATTGCTGATTAAATTAATAGCAAAAAGTCAAGCTACCGTCAAACATTTTTCATGCATTCAAAATTATCAAATTAAATTATTATTTGTTTAATGTTATGTAGTCGTGAAAATGTAATCCAGAGATGTTTACTAGGGTTTTAATGTGACTAGGGTTGATAATATCTAGGCTAGTAACATAACATCTAGTGATATAACATTTATTTCAAGGCTTGAATCTTACTCCGATTTCGGATCAAAAAGTCGAGGCAACTCGGTCCTATTTTGTACAAAATTTATGTCAACTTCGATATGTAGCCAGCATCACTGATACCAACCCTTTTCATATGCGAATTTTCGATTTAAAAAAATTATAAAAATTCAGCAAACATGAACTTGTACGTACAACTTTGCTCCATCGTTTGATTAGTCAACCAAAAAAAATTTGGAATTTTCCATTAATTTACTTTTTGAGAATTTATGTAGTGTAAAAAATTTATTGAAGCAATAATCTAATTAAAGTATGAAAACGTGTCTATGTGGGTAATGTGAAGCTATAAATAATTTTTAACTTATTTGATTTGCAAATTCATATTTTTATAATTACCACAAAATGATACCGACACCTTTTTGCCAATTTTAAAAATACTTTGGAATTGGAAACAGTTTGATATCACGTAACAAACATTTCTAAGTAGATTTGGGTATGGTAATAAATTTTTAAATTAAAGTTAATTTATGATAAACAATTTTGGATAATGGATGAGATTGGATTGTCAATTTTCTGCATAATAATCTCATGTTCTGATTACACCTCAGGGATTTAAAGCTATAAACATGCTTTAAACGTTTAGCAATCATTAGACTGAAATTAGTAGAATAGAAACTATCCAATGTATGAAGCTGCTTGAGCCTTAAAGTGCTCCTCCTAGCTAATCTTTACAGAGTACGTCCCTAGTTATAGCCTCCAGCTAAATTTCACTCAAACCATAAAATCATGTCTACAAAACAGAAGTTAAAAACTCGACAGACATAGAAACTCCTACGTTTTACAATCTGTCAGCAGACACACTTCAAATCAAATTTTTATATCACTTAAATAACATATAATTTCAATAACGAAGAAAGTTTGCGGAACCGAAGAAAGAAAAATATCAGAAAGTATTTAAAAATATTTCAAACCCGCACACAAACTGCTTAAACATAAGATAATATACAATTGCAGACTTATTAGAAGATTATGACTAGTTAAGAGCGAAAAGTGTATGAAAGAGATTCACATGAAAGATTTTGAAGTAAAATGCAAACTAATTACTGTAATCCATAGTCGTGGGGGTCATTTGTAAATGATGGATGATACTTTACCTTACTTCGCTGGTCGTACAGATCAATTGTGATCCATGAACTTCCTTGGTCGTCGCCTAAAACTAGCTCTAGCGCTGGCTACCGTCTGTCAATTGCCGATTCCAAATGCAACACTGTCTCTATCAACAGCCTCTTTCCATGTGTTCTTTGGCTTTCCAGGTGATCTCTTTCCATCTACAAAATCGGATTTGAAGACCTTATTTAATGGAGCATCAACGGGCCTTTATGAATGATATGTGAGAGGAAATTGTAAATTTAAATGATAAATGATATTTATTGTAAATTTAAAGAGTTAAGGCAAGTTCGTAGTCAAGGAGAAAGGGTCTTTCCTCCCTTTGGAAAATTAAGACAGAAGGATTATGTGGTCGACGTCATTTTTGGATAAACCCTACTAAAGTTCATTCATATATGGTATCAATCAAAATTCAAGCAACTTACAGTCTCAATTTTAGGCCCACATCTGTCACAAACTTTTCATAACTCATATAGCATCACACAGTTTCATCCTCCCTTCTTAAAAAGTGAACATCATTTAAGAATAAACCCCACTTTAAACATTTGAAAAAAAGGAAATCCTTAAAAAAAGTAATTTAATCCAGCTTTAAATCAATTTTATAGCCTGCAAAATGTTTGAAATTGTTTATAATAAAATCAAATAAATTCGCAATAGCAATAAATTTTAATTTAAAAGTATCTGAGAGCGGCAGTAGCAGCTAATTCACTTCAATTTTTCATTACTAACCGCTACCGTTTTTTTTTCTAATTTAAATTTCCGTTCCTTTTACATCACAGGAAATGGTTACATCACAACGGGAGTATTAAAGGAAATTTTGAGAGAACTCGATGACTCTCTTAGCAATGATGATTTGGATGCAATGATTGAAGGTAAAATGCTGTGTTCCGTGGACAATTTACTGGAGCGAAATTTGTTTCTATTTTTAAAGCATTATTTTTTCTTTGAATTTTCATTTCCATGCTGTGCCTGTACCCACACATACTTATAGAAATTGATTCGGATGGAAGCGGTACTGTGGACTTTGATGAATTTATGGAAGTTATGACAGGTCCGGAATTTTCTTTTCTCCCTTTTTTTCATCTGACATTGCTGCTTTTTGGAGCGGCTACGGATGAAAAATTGCCTTACTTTATTTTAATAAATTTTTTCTTTTTTCTTTTCTCCAGGCGGCGATGACTAAATGAGCTACAAAATGTACTTTAAAAATAAATCGCAACGCAAATATTAAAATCACACATTTTCATCATCACTGACACTAGCTAACGATGTTTATGCTCAAAATACATAAATAAATGCATAAAAAACAAATTTCTATTTATTTTTATTTTTTTTTCTCGTTATTTGTTTGTGCTGCAAACTTTTTTCTCTCCGCATCAGTTCGACTCATCTAATTTGTATATCTATGAATGAGGAAAATAAGTCAGTTCTCACAAGTATTTCTCAATATTTTTATTTTTTGAGTTATGGCACAAATTTCAATCATACAATGAAATCACATTGTGAGAACTGACAGAGATGAGCAGACGTCGTGTGTATGAGAGAATTTGCAATGTAACACAATAATAATCATCATCATCTTATAATGTAACCAAATTGTAATTGAAGGAGAAAATGAACAACAATTAAAAATAAATTACATTTCGATGCCAATAAAGTTTGTTTTTATTCGCCGGATTTACTGTTGTTTTCGAAAAAGTCTTCTTATTATTTTTTTTTTGTTTCTAAGGTAGATGAATCTGCGAGGAGTGAGAACTTGTTGTTGGAATTTAACTGAGTTATACTTTACATAATATATCGTCTAAACTAGAGTTGTTACTCATCAATTTCCTATCAAAAGCAAAAATCTATCCCAGGAATTGCCTTTAGAAAGGCGTCAAAATTTACCTTTATCAAGGCATGCCTAGCCAAAGCCAATGCCTAGAAGTAGGCAATAATTTTTGTTTTTACCAAGGCAGTACCTATCGTAGTCATGCCTTTGACTAGGCATAACCTAGATTAGATTCATGGAGGTGCCTATTTTTGTTTGAAAGCTTTCCAAAAAAGTAGGCAACTACATGATTCTAATATAGGTTTTATCCAGGTAAAAGCATGCCTAAGGTAGGCAGCGCTTAGGAAAGCAAAAAATGTAGTCTTTTTCTAGGTAGTGCCTTTGGCTAGGTATTACCTTTGACTAAGCACACTTTTTTTCCTTTGGCTAGGTATGCCTTTACAAAGATGTTGCCCAGTGATGATACCTAGCACTTGAATTTAAAAATGTGGCCCTAAGTGTAGGCAATTTGAAATCAAAGGCATGAATTTGCTAGATCAAAGGCAACTTTGTATCAACACTGGTGTTGAAAAGCTACCATGCTCTCGTGAGGCACCTTGCCAAAGGTACTTATCTGAAAACTCTGGTCTAAACCATAGGTCAGTAGTTTGACTTTTTGAGAATCTAGTAGCTTTACATTTCTATAGCTGCCTGCTCCACATGTCATTCAATTTCAACATTAATAAAATAAATATTCTGATTAATATTCGAATCATAAAATTGTTATTTTTAAACATGGTCTTTCATGTCAGATTTTAGATAAGCTATTTACATGCTTACAACATGGAGATAAATTACACGAAAATTGGATAATATTAAAAAAGTTAACAGTAGCATTAATCATTCATTACAAGAGCTATTTGCATAATCAACTATGTTGTAATGATTCAGGAAGCTTAAATTCAAAGGAATTCCCTTCTTTTAGGGAGTTTTAAGTTCAAGTTCCGGAAATTTTAAATGACATCAATGCAAACGAGTTTATCGTGGGTTTTTCGTAATCTTATAAATGTTGATATACGTCATTACATCTTACTCTTCTATGTTTAAACAGAATATTTCGAATGCTCTTTAAATATTTTCTCTGCAGCATAAAAGGCTTAACCTTCAAATGCGTGGGAAAATGCCTCAACAATGTTCGTTTGTTTGCTTGAAATAGAAATTTTGAGAATATAAATTCTATGGAATTCGATATATTTTTAGAATCTGAAAAGTCAATTTATTTTTATTAAGAGAACTGAAGGTACAGTGTACGAGAATTGATAAGACTTATTCAATTTTGTTTATTTCATTTGTTTTTATAAAGTAAGAATCATTTCATTCAATGAAATTAAATAATTCTTAGAAGGTTAATGCTTTTGTTAAGGATTATTCATGGTTTTGTAAACGCCCAACACTTGACAGTTAAGTACAATAACATAGTCAGTCCCAAAAAAGATGGTGTTGCTTCTTTCATCATAGCTGAATGTTTTGAAATTTAAAAGTTTTTGGTAGCTTCATTTTAGTACATGAAAATAATTACTGGGAAGAATCTAGGTCAGTGAAAGCTAATGAACCATGACCAAAACCGCACGCTTCATACGATTCATGGTGGGCTTGAAAAAGCAATAAGGATGATTGTAAGACCCTTTCCAAAAATCTGGGGAAATCCATTAATATGGGGGCCGTGCACTTAATGCGTTACGCAAAAGACCGAATTTTTTCACCCCCCCCCCCTCCCCCCTTGTCCTTGTTACAATATGTTACAACTCACAACCCCCCCACCGTGAACGTTCATAATTTATTTTATCATTAAAAAGGTGGAAAATTTAAAAAAAATGTTTTTGGTGTGAATTTGTAAACAAATTTTTTTCGTGAACTTTTTTTTAAAAGACAGACGACAGTTCAAACGTTACATACTTCTTGCCCCCCCACCCCCCTATGTTACATTTTGTTACAATTTTTCAACCCCCCCCCTCCCCTTTAAAATGCGAACGTAATAAGTGAACGGCCCCATAGGGGTTTAAAGTTTTATGACATTTAAAACAAAAAAAAATTTCTTAATCCAATTTTTGTCTGCCAAAGGACCCCTCAAACCTCCTTACTACACCTACCAAAAATATAATTTTAACACAGTTGCAAGGTTTTTGCGCTTGCTATTTAACTGATAAATCGAATAATTACCCTCCAGTAAATCCAAAATGGTACCTTTGATAGCAACAAGCACGTTTAATCAATCACATGACCCTCTTAAAATCCTAGAAAATATCATAAACTTTTTAACCCAGAGCAATTTCATGCTGCACCACTTTATAATTTAATTTCACATAAACATAGAGTCATTCCACATGGTAAAGTAATTAATTGCAAGACAAATATTAACTCTATCATAAGTAATCCAGTCACAATTTCAATACCACAGAAAACATTTTAATTGAGCTCAATTTATTTACATTGTATGTCAATTTCCTCATCAATTTATCAGAAAGTGGAAAATAATTTTCGATCGAGAATGAACACCCCTTGCAATTAATTACCAATGCACGTCGCATACAAAACCGAATCTCTCAAAATAAGTATGCCTATATAAAAAAAAATTGAAAAAAAAGTCGATGCAGTTGTTGATCAAAATCAGTGGCAGCGTGTGGCAACAAAAGGTAAAAGCGTAAAACAGCTGTCGACGCGAGCCAATCATGATGATAATATGATAACTGGTTGTACATATTCATGTTGTCTACTACTGCAATTGCTGCCTACATTGCTGTACATTTCTCTATTTTTATTTACTTTTCAAGCGCACGGTCGTAAAACTATTCTTAAGTAGATTTTTGTTTTCGCAATTTATCGATTCATTAACGATAAGTAAGTTAGTAGATGCTGTAGACGGCTGTGGGCAGATAAATTTTTAGAGGAATTAATGTCAACATAAAAATTACATATTAGCGTGCGAATTTTTGTGTAATACTAAAAATTTCAGCAATAAACGATAAAATATTTATTTTAATTCAATTTAAAGTCATTGAAAACACCTGAAGCGAAAGATATAGACTATTTTAATAATCATAAAGTAGATTATAGTGTGAATTTACTCGTAATTTATGTTTGGTCGCGATTTAAGTTCTAATAAATTATTCTTAAATTGTCACAAGCCGTGACGAAACTAGTTCATTGATGAAATTTTTGTTTACAACGAAACGGCGGAAATTGAGAGTCTGCTTATGAATGAAATTGATGCAGAAGTGGAACTTTATAGATTTTTTTAGGAACTGGAGGGACTTTGTTGAATATCATTCAGTTTCCTACCCTTGGGTATATGTAAGGTGTCTAAAATGGTTCGAACCTCTCGATCGAGGTTGATATTTGTGTTGAAAAAGATGAGACTACAAATCTGACCCTTAAAAATTCGTAGTGTCACAATTTTCACTAATTTCTAGGGCCCGCTATGCATGAACCGAAAAACGATGGCCCACACTCAAGGATCTAAATATGATTTTACTTTGACGACTTGTTACTAAGCAGAGTCTCACATTTAGCCTTAGAAACTGGTGTGAGGCAAAACCCCTGAATAAAAAACATCTCAATGGAGAATAGTGACATTTTTATTGAATAAATTAAGAATTTGAGCTTAGAAAATTATTTACTTACTTACTTTCTGGAGCCATGATCTTTTGTGGAGCTAAGGTGGCAATAAAAAGCTTTCCATCTGGCTCTATCGCTGGCTCCCGCTTGCCACCTAGTTTGTACAAATTCTCTGTCCGCACATTCAGCTGACATGCTTTCATCACTGTTCTGCATTAAAGAGCTTTTGTTGCTCCTGGGCGCTTTTCCCTTGGTCTTGCTGTTTCCAACCAGCAATGACATTCTGTCAAGCACTTTTCTTTCGAATTGTATGTTAGATCCAACCGTCCTTTATCCTTATTAATGTCTTGTTGAACGACTTTCTCTTGAAGCTTATGTTAGAAAATTATTAATAAATCTTGCAAATTGATGAAATTTTTCTGCCAATTGTGAATGGAGATTGTCACTCAATTCGTTTTCTTTTTAAATGATTTTTACTAGATTTTCATTTTTCAATAACATTTCCAGCTCTGTTGTGAATTATTTGCATCAAAAAACTTTAGCATTCCTTGCAATTTCCTGTCCAATTCATCATCACCATTAAAATAATTCACAGCTCACAAATATGATTTAATTTCTTCGGAAATGAAGGATGAAGCTTGACAAACTAATGATGATTAATTTCATCTAAAATCGGACCAAGCAATTTCATTCATCGTCAAATGATCACTAATTTATCAATAATTATGTCTTTGAAATCAGCCACTATATCCAACCGTTCAAGCTCATGTTAATATCATGTAAATTAGAGCAATGAGTAAGCATTCGAGTGTGTGGACATTCATATTTACATACACAAAATTTCATATTACAAGCAATTCAATTTTAAGCATAGAAACCGCATTGGAACGTGATGATTGATCGCTTTTGAATTTGAAATATTTTGAACGTTTAATTAGCAGAAGAATTTAATTAGGGAATTCAAAATGTAAATACAAATTGATGATGGAAAAATATTCATGCTATGCTAGAGACTTTAATGCATCACGACCTGACTGTAGGAACATGAAAGAAGAAAAATATGTAAATTGAGGAATTTATCAAGTATTTTGTAAACAATTTAAAAGAAGCTAGCAAATATGGGACATGAATGTCGATGCTTTTCTGGAGGTTGTTTTATTATGTGTCTATGTAGATGCTTAATTTAGCATGTAATGAATTTTTCGCTAATTAATGTGCAACTCAGTGCAACTATGCAAATTGTTAGAAATTTTTGAAACAGTTATTTGTTGTGGAGCAGATAGGGTTCATTCATAATAGAAGAAATTATTATTTCAGGTGGATATAGCTACCCTTGCTCTCCTGGCTTCATCTCTGTGCTGTTTCCATGTTAAACTTTGATCCTACAAAAATTTAGAGATCCATCTTTGTTCTAGAACAATTGTTATTTGAGTCTCTAGTCACTTATCTTGATTGAGACTTATCCTAGCTTCTGTACTTAAATCTCTTACACTATAACAGCCAGGATCCTTAATTTTCATTAGATATGCCCTCCTAGCATGACAAAAGCACTTTAGGGTAGTTGAATTCAAAGTTTTATTACATAATTCAGTAAATATCACTCAATTTTCCTCATCATCAGCCAACATACTGTAATTCAACACCTATTACGAAATCAAACAAATCTATGCAGTAAAGTGCCATTTAACCTTCCACTAGACTGGCAAATTGTCTATAAAATCTCATTCACTTCTGTGATACATAAAAATGCTTCATATAAATTAGTAAGAGTGCATAAAAAAATCATTTCCTCGTATACATGCTGCATGAATTACATAGAATTAATTTTTTATTTGCTAACAAGGTGACAAAATTCCTTCAGCAATATTTAAATTACATTTTCGTGTCAGCACATGTGCCTAATTATATACATTCATATTTTCATATGATTAAACATGTTAATACATATAAAAAAAATTCGCATGATTTAATCCATGTCAGCAGCGATTGAAAATGCCGTACTGAGTACCATGATGAGTCTCACCTTAATCCGCGACAGATGTGTAAAAGATACATCGAGAATATATTTTTATGACAAATTGAAAGAGATGAGATTCAAGAATAAAGATTGTGTGAATGCGATACGAAGTTTAACAGCGCATTATAAGACTTTCAAATAGATGGACAGACTGAAGGACTAATGAATTAAAAGTTGGCTTTTGGATAGACTGACAAAACTACAGACAAACATTCACAGCCAAAGAGACTCGCATGACTTGGAAAAATTAGCAAAAAATTCATTTTACATTTTCAACGATGAGCATTAAGTTAATAAGTGTGCGTTTGACATCCAACGACATATTTTTCCAATCTCAATTCCGCTATCCCCTGTGCTTACGATGATCATTCATGTATTAATATTTAAATAGGGAAAAAAAGAGAAAAAAAAAACATTTTTTTTTTTAAATTAATTAAACTCCTCTTTTCAGTCTTATTTGTAGACGTGATCGCGATTGAACCGACGCTGCTGTGCATTTCATTTGTGTCTCTAATTATAATCATCGGACAATCGAATGCAATTGACTATAAAATTCTTCTTACAACTTACGTTGTTCTATTATTAATTCAACAAAAAAAAATAAATACGAGAACTTTTTTTTAGTTTCTTGCCTTTCTGACATCCTCTTCTTTTACCTACACAGTGCGTTCTGTATTTTTTTTTATTTTTGTGATCTAAAATAAATTTTTCTCTCGGCAAATAAATTTAAATTTTTGTCACAGTTCAATTGAGATTGCATTTTAGTTGAAAGGCATCTGATAGTTAAGTCGGTTCATCTTGACGGTTGTGTTGTGAAGATTAATTAAGTGATAAAATAAAAAAAAGAGGAATAAAATGTCAGAAGCACCAGCAGCAACGCCCGCACCGGCACCAGCACCAGCAGAACCAGAAAAGAGAACAGGACCTGTAAGGAGGAGACTTCTTTAATTAAATAAATGTGAAAATAAAGTTTTTATTTGGATTTGGAATATTTTTGTGGTGCTATTTATCAAGCAAGACCCCCTTGGCCCCCCAAAAAATAGAACATTTTAAAATAATCATTTTGAGTTCTTAATTTTTAAATTCAGAATTATTGACTTTAAAGGGGGATAGCTTCATCACAACATCCCTCAAGCAGCTTTAATATTCCAAATCCAGAATCTACACCAAACTCGTTCATTAAACTTAAAGACAAAAGCAAAATTGCATTAAACTTCTGCATCACGTAACACCCAGAACGGAAAGAATATTAAATTAAAAAAATTTACAAAACTTTTCCAACTACATATTACACTCTTTTGAGAATCCCAGACACTCACGTCTCATCACCCCCACCAATAAATTGACGCTTTTTAAAAAAAAACTTTATTTTTAATACGAAAAAAAAATTAAATTAAAAAAAATTATTAAAAACTTTTTCTTTTGTTGGTGAAATAAAAATGAAGGCAACATGGAAGTTCCCACCCACCCGCAAGTCTTCGATCCCTGATCTTGATAAAGTTTGTGGCTATGAAAAAACTTTTAATTTTCTATTCTGTGACTAACTTACCTAGGTCAATTGACCTGATTCTTGTGGATTAAGTAACTCCGAATTTGTGAAGTTTAATATTGCAAGTTTGTAGGTGAAAGAACTAATTAAGAAAAGTGTGACATGACTTAAGCTGTCAATTTTGCAAATAAATTGTGTATAATATATCTGTTGGATTACATGACACAGTCGCATCCTGACTGAAGATTTACTATAAAGTTTATTAAAGTTAATTAAGAGAATTTACTCGAAGAAAAACTTTTATCTGAAGTAAAAAGTTGAAAACTAATAAAATATGTATAAGAAGTGAGGATGTTGTAAAAGCTGATCCATTAAGGGAATTTAGTGGAAGTTTTGGGAATAGAAAAAAATGTAAAAAAAGTTTGAAGTGAAATTTTGTGTTTAAATAATTCAATTGAGGATTATTTGCAAATGATGTGGATATAGTAGCTTTAATGGATTCAATGGCTCTCCCCTCGCATCCTACAGCTTTGGCTATGCCACTGGATGTTTATAAATGACTAAGTAGGATCAAAATATGTTGAAAATTAAAAATAATAGAAACATAACCTTCAAATTTTCCAAAGAGTTCGTCTTATACGCATAAAGGAAAGAGACATAAAGGAACTCACTTCTTTTCATCATTTTACAAAGCATCACTTCTCTTAATGAAATTAAGAATCTTTAAACATTAAATTAATTAATTTTCTGCACTTATATTTGCTTTTGAACTTCTTCTTTCATCTCGGTTTGGTGATGACTGCAAAATAGCCAGAAAAAACTGTCTTGTAATAAAACATAAAAGCTTTGCAAACTTCCTCTTCATTTTTTTTTTGAGACTCTGGTTGAAAAAACTTTGTTCAGTATTAAGTAATGACAAACTTTCAATTAAAAATTAAGTTCAATTCAACATATACTTAACGACAATTTGACAAAAATGAGTTCCTTCAATTTTGACCGATATTTCAACATTTTCGAGACTTAAATTCTTTTAAGATCATGTCATAATCTCAAATTTCAATAACATCTAAATTACATTTTTTAACTTGAAATTTTTAAAAGCAAAAATTTTTGTAAGGGGTTGTTCATTAATGACGTCCAAAAAAACAGTAATTTTTCAAAAAAAACAATAAATTTCCAGGTATTACTATTGTTCTTTTCTTGCTCCCCCCGCCGGACATCATAAGTGAACGGCTCCTAAGCAAATACGTCCTTCTAATAGTAAATGAATAAAACAATAATAATAATAATAATAATAACATTAATGTATTCAATTTCAATGACTTGAAGCTAAAAGATTTTTTTTGATACTTTTGAAAATTATGTTTGTGAAAATAATTCTTGGAAGCTACTTCTTCATTTTTTTTTGTGAGAATTTACAAAATGCTTACTTTAAGAAGCACATCCAACCGAACTGAGAAATAACAATTATCAGGAATTATATAATAAGTTTGAAAAACAATACTAAGGGTATTTAAGGATTGAATTACACCATGCAAGTTCGATCACAGCTTTGTAGAGGTATAACGTCTAGGAAACATTTATTTATACTTAAGAGTACAGCAGACTCAAAATTATTGCTTATTGCATGCAAATTGTAATGTCGTGAGTATTGAGCGAGTCCTTGTCTGATGGGATTCGAACCCACGTTTTCACAGAAATAGACTAAAGTTATTCTGTAAGTCTAACCATTCGGCCACAGAAGTCTTCGTCTCGCACTAGCAAATTCGCTATTATTTACAGCTTACAGATTCCACTTTACTTAGACACCACACAAATCTATAGCATTAAGAACATTGAATATGTTTAAAGTCAAAGTCTGAGCAACAAATCAACATAGTTTGAGTCAACTCAAATCAACTGGACTTGACGCAAAAATGACTTGACTGCAGTTGACTAATCGAGGTCTGATCAAAGTTCTGGAAATTTTTAATGTTCTTAGCTATTTAATTTAAATTAAAAATCCCACATTTTTAAATCCACATCAAATTTTATCTAGAAACATATCTCAACACCCTCAACGACGAGACCGAAGCAAAAAATTAATTTGAAAGCTTACCATAATTCAATCAAATCAAAAAACAACATGCTAGTTGCATTGAAAATATTTTTCATGAGTAGGCAAAAATAAAATTTGTCACGCAAAGGCCGAGCTGAGAATTTTCATAAAATTCAATTTAAGTTGTCATAATATCCATTTAATTTGAAATATTATCGAGTCAATTTTATTGGATACGCGTTGAAATTGCTAACAGAATTTTTGCATTTAATTTTTTTTTGGGGGTTTGTTTGTAAATTAGGTTCTTGAAGATTTTTTTTGATTTATTGAGAATGCGTCTCTGACTTAATTTGATATCATTAAGGTGTGCATTATTAAGGAGCATATTTTATTACAAAAAGTACGAAATCTTGTCAAAATTATTAATTTACGTAATATCCGGATGAACCCCAAGTATTATAATTTTAATTAATTACGTGAAAAGTTAAATCGACATGGAAAAAAATTTAATTTGAATTTTATTCGCACGCAAATTTATTTATACATTAAATTTAATTTGAAGCCCAGGAGCTGCTGTGAATTGCGATAAAAATATCCAAGAAATAGTCACTAAAATTAGTCAAGTGATACTTCTGTTATCAGAATGAATTGCGAATCTGAAACGGAAGTTCAAAAAAAATTTCGTATCTTTCTCGATCCGCTCAAGGACATTTCATGTTTAATTTTACAACAGAACTGGAATGTCAGCTGTTACAGCTGCTGCGAGCATGTGACAGAATATGTTGTGACATAATGAAGAAATTCAATGTCCATTTAAATTATGTTTCCATGTAAATTAATTATTTTTTGAGTGTATCTCATTCGATGTGTCATGTTCAGTGCTCAAAAACTCGGCGGCACTTGAAATTTAGGTCTACAGCCTCTGATTCAATGTGCCACTGTGTTTTTGAACTCAAAAAATTTTATTATCGTCGTCACAGCATTTTTATGTCTTTTTACTGTATATTGCCAATCTACTGTTCCATAGAACTTGTTGGAGCAAGGACAAGATCAATATCAATGTAACATTTTTTTTGTCATGTGCGGTTCAATTTCGAATGATTTATACATTGTCATAGTAGCAAATTGGATATTTGAGCTGCTGTGTTGTGTGGTTTCTTGTTATTCATATGAAATGTATTTACACTTATGGGTAGATGAGGTAATGGTTTTTCATGAGAATTTCCCAGAAACAAAATTGTGTTACTTCTATCCGAGAATGGAATTTTTTTACTCATGGGAGGAATCAGCATCAAAATTTAATAATCTTTACTTCAATGAATATCTGAAAATATTAAGAATTTGAACAGTTACGTCAATGGATAATCTGATACTGGTTTTTTGTAATTTTAACCTTGTTTTGGGGTTTTTCTTCATAAATACTTCAGACTTTAAGTTTAGCTGTTCTGTTTTCAGAAACATTCTTAGAAAATTGAAGTAGAATTAATAAAAAGCTCTTCAACCTTAGTCTGACCAGAACAGGTTAAAACTTAGTCTACTCAATGACTTAGTTGAAAGTATCTGAAAAGACTATATAGACGACAATACCAAAGAAACTGTTTAGAGCAGGAAATAGTATAATTAGACATTATGTCATGCGTCTTAGCAATCCCTAATAGCTCAGTGGTAAGAGTATGCGACAAAAAATCGTTTAGACGTGGGTTCAAGTCCCATACAGGATAAGTTGTTGAGAAATTTAAATTTTATTGTCAATTAACTTATACTTCTAACTTCTAAAAGTGTTGTCACTTGACAGTCGAAAAAACAACACTTCAACGTGAATTGGAATAATATGCAGCTTGTTTATCGAGAATCGAACCAACATGCACAACTTATTTTTATCGGGAAAATACAAAATAAACTGTAGGATTGGGTATTAGAAGTCTATCAAGCGTGTACGTTTCAAGTCACACTACTTTATTGTAGCTTACAACTTGTGAGAGTATCACAGTGCTTAGTGATTTTAAGACCCTACGAGTCATTGACTATAATAAAATGAATAAGAAGGATAAATTTTCGCAAATTGACAAGGTTTTAGTAACAAACTTAAAGTTCTCGAATTCCACTTCAAAATTAAACATACCCTCCTTAAAAGCAATAATGAGATTTTAATGATTCATGTCCGCTATTTTGAACGAAAGCTCCCACAACTTTTTTATCGTCATGCGATAGGCAATATACAGTGTTATTATTGTAAACACAAAAAAAAATTGTTTTAGCTAATTGGATGTTTTCTTTCTATTTCTCGCACATTCTTGACGTTCATCAGGAAACTAAATTGAGCAAAGATCAATTGAAAAGTAGGTCAAACAAACAGGTTTTGCTTCAATTTTCTAATTTTTTTTCTTGATTGTCGATTAGTTCTGCGAGATGCCTTCAACGTTTTTGACAATGAAAAGAAAGGCGCAATCTCATTGGATATTATTGGCACGATTTTGGAATTGCTCGGACATGCAGTAGAAGAAGAAGAGCTCGATGACATTTTAGATGAATTTGATGAGGTAGAATAAGTGAAATTATTGTAAATTGAATAATTTTATTTGTTTTAAACATTAAGGACGAGTCAGGCGAGATCGAATTTGCTGAATTTGTAAAACTAGCAAGTCGATTTGTAGAGCCAGAGGAGGATTATGAACAGCTAAGAAAAGAATTGAGAGAGGTTTTCATGTTGTACGACAAAGAAGCACGTGGTTATCTTCCACTCGATGAATTTAAGAAAATTTTGAGAGAAATCGATCCAGAATTGCCTGAGGATGAACTTGACGAGATGATTGACGAAATTGATGGTTGGGAAATTATTTTTTATTTAAATTCATTGATTTTCTGTTCTTACCCACAAATTTTTTCCCCTTTTTATAGCTGACGGAAGCGGAACGATTGATTTTGATGGTAAGGATGTGGGATGTTTTCTTTTTATTAATGTACATACCTTCCCGGGGAACACAAGATAGTATTTTAGAATCTGATTATTTTTAAATGATGGAGATTGAGGAATTAAGCCTTAAGGGTAAAGCTTCACATTATGATAATGATTTTAATCTAAAGACAAGTGTCAAGTATCAAGAGTTGATAAATCTAAACTTGTGAAAGATTAAGTCTAGGTTAAGACAAAGCAGGCTCAAGCCAAAGCCAAATTATCATTAATTTTTATCATAGGTGAGATAAAAGCTGAATCTAGATTTGTTTGAGACTTTTGAGCAGTTCCTCAGCATTCAATTAGATATGAACCTAAGTGGTACAGTCTATGCTGCAGCATATTTCGTTTCGGACTTCTTCGAAATTAATTTCGATTTCTTCGATATTAGAGCCGAAAATTCAAATTTCAAAAACCAGTTACATTATGTAAACAATAAATTATTTTAATTAATACCAATTCTGCACAAATCCCAAAGTTCTTCATAAATTATTAATTTTATATTTTTTTATCTATTCTCAACTTTATTAACAATAAAATTTGAGCAAAATGAGTAAGTGCATGGTAAAATCTGGTTTAACCGTCAAAAATTTTTGAATATGGTCATAAAAAATTTGAATTTTTTTGAATATAAATTTAACGGATGTTATATGAAATGACGGTAGTCTGGTATAGTCTAGGCTGCAGCTAATTGTTAAAACAGTTGTATAGTCAAGATATATGCAAGGCTATTGGTGTAGTCTTTATTGTGTCATTGCAAAATTCGAGCAAGCACAGTTTCAGAAGCACTGTTCTAGAGCATAACCAGGTAGTAACCTAGATTTTATATCATTAAATACGCATGGTTTTACTAGTCAAGTTTGAGTTTTCAAATCTTAGTTAAAAGAAAGCTCTGTTGACAGTTCAGAATCTAAATCTCTTTAGAGGAACAGGAGTCAACCCGGATAAGTAAATATCCTTCTGCATATATCACTCGGCAGGGGCGTAGCCAGGGGGGGGGGGCCATAGGGGGCCCGGGCCCCCCTACGAAAATCTGATAATTGTTTTATTAAGTATTTATAGAGAAGAACCAGTTAATTTAGAGGAAGTGATGAAAGAAATGTCAAAATCAGCACGAAAAATTAAATTTAATGTATGAATAATGAATTAAATATTTAAACTTATGAAGAATGAATATAGATTTAAGGATACAAAATAACGGTTTTTTATTTTTCGAAAATGGGCCCCCCTTAAAAATTTTCTGGCTACGCCCCTGTCACTCGGGTATCAACTAATTCTTCCCCCAAAAAAAATAAATTTAAATCACAACATGACTCATAAAATGATGTCACAGAAATTTTAGTAATTGGAAATTTCCACTCACTAAACTTTAATGACTTTTCTGTTCAATCATGGATTAGAGAAAAATCTCCGTTTAGAGAAATTGATGAACAGAATTTTCACCTGCTAAATTTTCACTGTCGCTTACCGAAAAAAAAAGTATTCAGCACGTTCTCTTAACCTACCTCAATATCCATTTTCTACAACGTATTAAATTTTCGATTCTCTTTCTCTCTTTCATTTCAGAATTCATGGATGTAATGGCAGGTGCAGATTGAATGACTCGCTACATCTAAAGCTCATACACATAAAACGTGTCAACCATTTGATGGACTGTGTGATTAAAATTTTATTTTCAATTTTTTTCACGTCGCAACAAGTACATAAGCTTACATCCATACATCCATAATCATACACACACACATACTATATTTAAAGAGATTTTCATTAAAGAAAATTTATTTTTACATCAAAAATGAAAACATTTTTTAGCTGTTAAGGAAATGAAAAAAAAAATTGAAAAAAACTTTGTTAATTTTTTTTTTGTTGCATAAAATTTTTTATGGCATAATGCATGCGCATTCATCAAAATTTAATAAGCTCAATAACAAACACAGAATAGCTATTGGGCTTAAAAATTTTTGATTTCCTCACTTTTATTAAATCAATCGAAAAATTCTGTTTTGTTCTGTAATTTTCCCAACCACAATAAAGGCATGCATGAGAGCAAACACAAAGTTAAAGTTATGTTGAAGATGAAAAAAAAAATTTAATAAAAAAAATACTTACAAAATATAAAAATAATCGTGATTTTTATTTTTTTTTCTGATGATTTTTGAATGTAAAATAATTCAATTTATATGATTAAATTTACATTGCAAATTTTTTTATGTTGATGATGGGAATGAATTTGATGATGAAGTATCAAAAATATACAAATTATGTTTGACTAAAGTCGTGGAGATTTTGGAGTTAAAAAATATGATTATTTTTCCACCGGAATTTAAGTTCTGATAGGGAAACGGGTCCTGGCTACCTTAAATCCCCTCCTGACTAATCACATGACTAACATTCTAAGAAATAAAGTGTCTTATCCCTTCAAAAATTAGCGAGGCCCAAGTCAAAAACGTAAAGCATGGGAAGGACTCAACCTTTTGATCTGGAGGAACTGCGATTCAAATTAGAACAGAATCTATTGTACCACACCTTTGAGACCTACAGTTTATAGTGGAATCCGAACCACTTGCATGCTCTGCACATTTCAAAGACACGAGGACGTCTAAAGACCTGATGTCCCCTGCAATGTAGCTGGTCACAATTCTTTTGCACAAGATGCATGCCTCAATTTCCACTTGAGGACCGAGAAGCTTTTTAAAATGGGATAATAACAAGAAACTAAGCTTCAGCACAGAACCTGATAAATTGATGCAAGTGGTGGAGGTCAATGTCAAATAAACAGTTAAGTTCACTTATTTAATTACTTCCTTGGCTAGGGTTCACCTGAGTTCATTGCCGAACATAGAGATCGTATGAAGACAGCCTTATCTTTTAGATTTATACCAATCTGGGAAAATAAAGACTCTACTGTCCTCATTGACACTTTAAATCCAGGTATTCTTCTGTCTTTCTTGTGATCTTTTGTCATCTACATCCACAAAGTCTGCCACTGTTATTTTTAGAACCTGTTCAACTTTGAATTGTAGTTCAATAATAATAAAACTGTCAATTAAGATATTTCTAAGGATAATCAAAATGCCTGAAAAAAAAACCTTTAACTATTCAGATCAATTATGATCCAGAGGTGCGCAAAATGCCTATGCCTTAAATTAATCCAACACCCGAATCCAAAATTCAATTTCAACATTCTTTCAATTCCATATCAAAAGACAAACATTTTTCAATTAAAATTCTTAGAAAATCAAGCCAAATTCCCATGGGACTACAGTTTGTAGATCATGCGTGCGCGTACATATATGAAGACATGGAATCACATGAGTTAACATTCATGCTGTAACACCATTATGTATAAAACAGTTGCTGTTTATTATATTCACACCGTTTTCACGTGTGAATCTATTGGTTTTGTTCAGATTGAAAAATCAGTTTTTCGCATTTTGTGAGAAAACAAAGCAAAATTGGTTATAAAAGGGCAAGAAGAAAAGTTTGTGCCTGAAATTTTACATCATTTTCAAAAAACAGATTTCAAATTGGTTGTGGCATTGCTGAGAAAATCGCAAAATACGCTTTCTGTAAGCAAACAAGCAAGCAAGCAAGCAAGCAAGCAAGTTAATCAGCAAGAAATCTCAATAACGAGACATCGTAGAGACTTCTAGTTTTTTACATTTGATCCGTGCTGCTCTATAGAAGAGCTGTATTGTTTTTGGGCAAGGTAGGAACAGCCGTTGCTTCAGAAATGGCAAAAAACTTTCCTTTCTTACGAATTTTTTAAAACAAAAGTTGACTGTGATTTTTATAAAATTCAACTTTGGATGAAAATTTTTTTTAAAAAACTTTTAAAGAATATTTGGCATATTCGTCAAGCTTTATACCTTCAAACTTATGCTGAGCGTAGCTCAGCTGACTCGATAGCTTTATATCTTCAAACTTATGCTGAGCGTAGCTCAGCTTACGCGATAGCTTTATAACTTCAACTTATGCTGAGCGAAGCTCCACTGCCTCTCTAGCTTCATATCTTCAAACTTATGCTGAGCGTAGCTCAGTTTACGCGATAGCTTTATAACTTCAAACTTTTGCTGAGCGAAGCTCAGCTGCCTCTCTAGCTTCATATCTTCAAACTTATGCTGAGCATAGCTCAGCTGACACTCTAGCTTTATATCTTCAAACTTATGCTGAGCGTAGCTCAGTTTACGCGATAGCTTTATAACTTCAAACTTTTGCTGAGCGAAGCTCAGCTGCCTCTCTAGCTTCATATCTTCAAACTTATGCTGAGCGTAGCTCAGCTTACGCGATAGCTTTATAACTTCAAACTTATGCTGAGCGAAGCTCAGCTGCCTCTCTAGCTTTATAACTTCAAACTTATGCTGAGCGAAGCTTAGTTGACTTATCAAGCTTCATACCTTCATACTTATGATGGGCAAATCTTGGTCTATCCATAAGACTTATGATAGTACGGTGTGAATATAATCCGCATTGGGTTTCTACCCGATACACTAGTTTTTATTTATATTTTTTGTTCCATTAATAGATTGACACATTTCAGATTTTTTTTTGGCACTTATATAAGTTTCAAAAAAGGAATTGGAGTTGATTATGCAAAACCAAAAATTGAGAAATTTCGCACTACCGATGTTGTCAGTAATTTGTATGAGCTCATATCAAGTACTTGAATTTCTTGTTTTGCGGATTAAAAAACACTTTTTGTAGCTATCAATGATTGTATCCAGGTGAATGGAAATTTAAAGTAAATCATGCTTCTTTCACTGCTAACCTTTCATTATGAAATTTTTTATTTGTACATTGAACTTATGAACCAGTTTGATTTATAGCTTAGGCAACTTTTTTGATTGATATAAAATATGTAAATTATGTCAATTTTGAAGTTTGTCACATTTGAACCGTGAATTAATTTAGAAAAATGTCGAAGAATCAATTAAAAGACTTGTGATCATTATTATAATAATAAACGATTGAGTAATTACCATAAAATAATTTAAATTTTGATTTTCAAAAATTAAGGAAATTTAAATTTAATTATTTTTTAATTAAATGGTTCTACTTGGGCGGTTAAAGGCTGTTGAAATATTTAATATAATTTATGAAAGTTTAAGTTGATAATGGTAATCAAAATACTGCTCGTTCATTCTCATTAAAGCTGACATGATATTGAAATTTTTATTGCGTTGCATGATAAATATGGAAGGGAACTTAATGGGATTATCTGTAGTAAAATTATGAAACTTTATCGAGTGACAAAAGGAAAATTGTATAAGAGATTATGGACAATTAAGAGGCTTATCAGTGGTTGAACAGCTTTGCAAAGCATTTTATGAGTTATTGAGATGGCGATGGTCCATCACTGATAGAATTGAAGATAATTAACTATTGATACAGTTAAAGGTATGTCAGGCAATTAATTGATTATACAAGATGTCGATTATTTCCACCAAAATGGCTATTTAATGCCACAAAAGCATTCTCACACTGTTTCGGGTAATTGAACATAAAGTTTTGATGAAAATGATAATTCTGGTAGCTGAGAACCTAAATTTTAGTTCCAGAAACTGTCTTGCTGATTAAATTTGGATCCCTTCTTGCTACTTTATCTATAAAACCTAGTTTTCACGTGTGTCTTAAGAACTTTTTTCGCTATGGAAAAATCATTAAGTTTAAGACCCTTTTATGGAATTTAGCAACTCAAGAAAAATTTTATAGAACGTTTTTGCCTTTTTTCCGACATCCCTCTTACTCTTAGTTTTTCTGATTTTTATAAGCATAAACATCTGCTTCAATCATTTCGTTTTACTTAAGAGTCCTCAAAACATGGAATAATTTTTTTCACTTTCAATAATAAAAGCTTACATTATCAGCTTTAAAATTTCATTAAAATCACCTGTCACTTGCCACACCATATTCCTTATCAGTATCAAATATTCCCAATTCAGCAAAATTTTAAATTATTTTTCATTATCATTAATTTAACTTAATAACTTTCATGTCAAACACGTAACAAAAATTATCATAGCTTAACAAGCATCATTAATATAATTTTGGAACTACATATTCAATTATGCAAGGCACAAAGAGAAAGACCTGATTTAAAATTCATGCAAATCTTTTTTCGTCAATCTAGTCAAATTTCTTTTTGATGTTCGATACAATTTTATCGAGCTTTATATTGATCTATTCATGTAAAATGTACAGCAATTACTGATCATAATGAAGAAAGTTTTCAAAACTTTCATATTCATTTTTACTACATGACATCATACATGCTCATTAATATTATTGATTTTCATTTGAAACTTTGAATTTTGCACAAGTTTGTAAGTAATTTAATTTTATGTAATGTAATTTTTAAGGGTTAAGAATATGCTCAATATAATATCCATATGCTGATGATTGCAGAAACTTAATCGATCTGGGTTATGAAAATATCCAATTTCATAAATTGACGTCAGAGATTTTGATGATGTCGAAGTTATAGATTATAAGTTTCGTAGGAAGGTTACCTTAACTCTATGGATGGATTTGATAAAAGCTTCAAGATATTTTAAGACTATAGATAACTTAAAATGACTAGTTTATTAGAAATTCATTT